AGTCGAGTGAGTCTATCTCTTCTCAGTCCTTTGTAACTTGCTCTGATGGTAGCGGCAGTAGACGCGTCTAAATTGGTTTTAAGGGGCGGGTGGTTATGTGCTAGATCTGAAGATAAAGAGTTGATGGGGTCACTGTCGATAGATACCATTTTGTTCACTTTAGTTAGACTGAATTAAAATAATACGTGGTCGCCATTCCACCTTTTGCATATTATTATTGTGACTGACCGTCCTGTAAATACCAAAAGGCTAACCGAGGAGGGCGGACCGAAAGCCGAGGCTTTTCTTTTCCCCAGATTCTCCCCGCATGTCTACTGCCGCCTTCTCTTGACAACCACCATATTTGTTCTTTTTTTCCAACTCGACCTTCAATTATCGAGTACACCTTATTAGATCTTAGCAATGTCTTACAAGGATATTTCTCACTGCAAGCAGCTTCAACTCGATGCGCAGATACCACATCTGTGGCGTCTGGAAGTCTCGCAGATTCCACCCGGTCTGCTTTCTACGGCCGACTCAATCACGAACACGAGCCAATATGAAGCCATCAATGTCATGGACATTCCGCGGACATGCGGGCTTCTCACATCAGATGAGTTGCATATCACCGAGCAATACGATGTACGCTCCTTGCTGGGTGCCATTCGTGAGAGGAAGTTGACTGCAAAGGAGGTAGTCCACGCTTTTTGCAAGGTAACGCTCTAATCCCGTGCTACCCTCTCTCCCCATATTCTAACTCAGAGCACATGCAGCGAGCCGCAATTGCACATCAACTCACACGTTGCCTCACGGAGCCTGTCTTCACGCAAGCCCTTCAGCAAGCCCAGAAGCTCGACGACCATCTCCAACGCACCGGCCAGCCCATTGGTCCCCTACACGGCCTCCCTGTTTCCATCAAAGATTCATTCCATATCACCGGCGTAGACTCCACCACTGGCCTTGCTGCCCTGGCCTTTCACCCAGCAGCCCAAAGCTCGCCGCTCGTCAACCTCCTCACCTCCCTGGGCGCTATCATTATCGCCAAGACCAACGTCCCTCAAACCATGGGCGCCCTTGACTCCTGCAACCACCTGTTTGGCCGGACGCTCAATCCACTCAACCGTCGCTTGACCGTCGGAGGCAGCACGGGAGGTGAGGCGGCCCTCCTCGCAATGCGCGGGTCGATGGTCGGCTTTGGCACCGACATTGGCGGTAGCATCCGGATTCCTGCCATGTGCACCGGGCTGTACGGATTCAAACCCAGTGCAGGTCGCGTGCCAATTGCAGGAAGTCAAGAGGCAGGCAGCATGGTCGGCAAGGGGAGGGTCAGTCTTCAGCCGGTGGCTGGGCCTCTGGCCCGCTCGGTCGCAGATCTGGGGGTCGTGATGGCCGAGATCGTGCCTCGCACGGAGCTCTTCAGTGAGGAGGGAATCCCAGGCAGATGGTTTGATTGTAGCGTGCTTGTTTGTCCTCCATTAAATGGAGGTTCTACCGACACCAAGCCTCAGCCTCCCTCTGGAAAACGCAAAAGTTTCACTATCGGGATCCTCCGTCGCGATGGGCTGGTTGAGCCGCTTCCACCTGTCGCCAAGGTCATCGACGAGGTAGCACAGTTACTGCGACGGACGCCCGGAGTCAGGGTCGTGGAGATCCCTGTGCCTGCGGCTCTGAGCAAATGCCAAGGTATTGCTGGTCGACTGATGGGGGTTGACGGGGGCAACCCCATGATTGATCTGCTGGAGAGCACCGGGGAGCCCTTGATACCCTGGCTGAAGGGCCGGATGAAGCGGGGTCGGGAAATGACGCTCGCGCAGGTAGGCGAGTTGCAAGCACAACGAGCCCAGGTTGAGCGGGAGATGCTGCAAATGTGGACGTCTCGGGGGGTGACAGCAGATGCAAGTTACACTCGAGACATTGATGCGATCATTCACCCGGTCGCGCCGCATCCAGTGTCGGAATTGGATCGGTACAATGCGGTTGGGTATACTTCGTCCTGGGTGCTGCTTGATTACCCGGCAGGCACCATTCCCGTGCGCTCGTTCAAAGAGGAGGATCTGGAGCTGGGGACGGAGATGACGGCACCGGTTCTGGGGAGCTGGGATAAGGCTAATCGGCTGCTATGTATGTTTCTTCTTCTATTATCTTTCTTTCCTACTGGATTCTAATGGTCAACAGGGAACCAGAAGACTGTGGATCGCCGAGTGTACTTGGGTTCGCCGCTGAGTGTGCAGGTCATTACGCCCAAGCAGCATGACTACGAGCTCTTCCAGGCCATGGAGCTGATTGATCGAGTTGTGAGGGGAGATGTGCAAGTTCCTGCCATGCTTTAGACAACATCGACAGAGCCGTTTCACTTTTTTCGGCCTATGATACGTCCATCGAAGGCCATTAGTCTAGTACCTCGACACGTCTCTGCCAAAGAGGTGATTCAACATCCAGCGAACCGCAATTCGAACCTTATTCCTCCAGCTGATGCTCATGGTCAGATACGCTGAGTTCCACACTAACCAAGCGGTCCGACCCTTCAGCCCCTCTGGGAGGTACTTATGATGCTCTCCGTTTTCGTGCGGGATTTGCAACAGGGCATTCGCGTTTCCAATGTATGCCAACGTGCCCATGTTGCGGAACGAGAATGGGGCCGTGGGCTGCGAATCTCCCCGGTTGAGACGATTAGCCAGCCACTTGGCCTCCTGGAAAGTTGCCTGTGCCGTCGCTGGTGGTGCGCCTTTCTCTGGCATGGCGTTGTCTCCCAGGGCGAAAACGTCTTGCAGCACCACTGTTTCCCCACTCTCGTTCTCCAGCTGCACGCGCAACTGCTCATCTACCAACAGCGCTCCGACTTTCGGCGCTTTCTTGACATGCCACGCGGACCGTTGCACGACGTCCTCACTCGGGCGGCCGCTCCCATCCTTAAGCAAAGCCGACTCGTTTGGAAATGCTTGGACATCGGCCAAGGCGTCTCGAACGAAAGGATTCATTGCGTTTCCCGTCGCCCAGACGCACATACCTACGCCGACCTCGCCCTCCTCCTTCGTAGTTAGAGTCAAACACCGCTTCGGATCCATCTCCGCGGGCGTCTCCTCCCCCGGAGCGCCCCATCGCAACCCCTCCACATGATGTGAAACCTTAATGTCTACCCCTTCCTTCCGCATCGTATCCATCGCGTATTTCGACAGCGACTCATCGAACATCGACAACACCGTGGGCGCCACATCGTACAGCGAAAGCCTCGGAATGCCCTTCAACGAGGGATACAGCGCCATGAGATCCGCGGAGATGAAATCCCGCAGCGCCGCCGCCAGCTCCGTCCCGGTGGGCCCCGCGCCGACGATCGCGAAATGCAGCAGCCAGCGCCGCATCTCAGGCGAGGTGGTGGGCAAGACGGCTAGCTCGAAGCATTCGCGCACGCGGCGCCGCACGCGCCGCGCATCGCCCACATCCTTGAAGAAGAAGGCATTCTCGCGCACGCCGGGCGTGCCGAAGGTCCTGCTGACGGTGCCGACGGCGATGACCAGCTTGTCGTAGGGGACCGAGAAAGTCTCTCCTTTCTCCCAGGTGCGCGTGGGGGATGCTTGTGGGGGTTGAGATTCGCCGTCGTCAGTGCGTGGGGACTCGGTCACCCCGCTCTTGACGACGGTGGCCTCGCAGATGACGGTCTTGGAGGCGAAGTCGACGGCGCGGGCGGCGGCCTGGATGAAATCGACCTTGGTGTGGCGGTCGCGCACGGGCTCGACGATGTGCGAGAAGTCGAGGGAGCCACCGGCGGTGTCGGTGAGGAGCGGGGTGAAGACAAAGTAGGAGCGCGGCGAGATGATGGTGGGGGTGAAGTGGGCGGGGGAGAGCTTGCGCGAGAGGTTGTATCCTCCCCAGCCGGAGCCGAGGATGACGACTCGGGGCTTGTCGGGGCTGGGGATCGGAGTCGATGAATCTGAGGTATGTGTTGCTAGGGGTCTGGCTGTGATTGTGGGTGTGTTTGATGATGTGAGTATAGATGCAGTTGTTGTAGATAGGGCATGCTTGTCAACTCGTGGTCTGCTAGAGAGCAGCGATATCGTCCTTCCTCTTTCCCTGCCAATGCTCAAGGTCGAGGATGATTTCAGACTCTGCAGTCTAGCAGGGGCCCTGCCCCAGAAGGATGATGATAACATCCGTCTCATAATGTAAGTATGTACCGTCCGCACACAGCAATTGTACAGGACTTGCTCAACTAGACTGAACCCGATCTATCACCAGAACCAAGAACTCCAAAAAAAAAGACACAGCCCCCCATCCAGAAACCCCAGCTTATATAAAGAAAAGTATCTCGGTGCGCATCGGAACCCAAAATTTTTACTCGGATTGACACATGATGAGATCATCCCCTTCTCCTTTCTCCTTCCCTAGGCAGCTTTCATCCATGGATCCAGAACTTCCCGAGCCCGCGGGCCTTCAGGTTCCACAATCTCTTGAAACTTCCGAGCCCCGAGACAAGATCGAAGAAGAAAACAGATCCCTATTTTTTCCGCTTCCGCTGAGACGAAGAGAACAGGCGTGCCGGTGAGGATGATGGATGTTCTTTGACTCACCGAGCTCGGTTGGGATCGGGGATCGGAGGCGTTCGGGAACGGGGTTGGTGGATTAGGTTTTGGGTCGGTGGGTCTTTGTAGTTCGGGACTTGGGTTGATTTAGGGAGTTGGATGTGGATCACATGGGTTGTAGGTTTTAGAGGTTGAGTTTGAGGTGTTGTGCGTCGGGTTTGTGGTGATGGATGCATGGATGAAGTTGCAGACAAGAAGTATAGTACAGTTCAGTACAGTACAGTTGACAGGGGGGGTTAGACTATGGTTACCTAACATGCGTTTGTCCTGTTTGATGAGCATGTAGTCTCATGCATGCAGGCATGATGGATGTGATACTATTGACCTCGGACTTCCTTTATTCTAACCATGATCCTGTTTCATTGACATCTTATTAAGAATTAAGTGGTTCACACTACCCAGCACCACTAAACCAGCCGTACTCCATCTCCCCAGCACCAAACCATGAACCTCAACATCTCCCCGGACGACGTATGCTGGGCCCAGGCCGAAACCATCTCCGACACCTGGCTCCTCCAATTCCTAGAAATCGACATCCTGCGCCCAATCGCAGACTTCATCCTCCATCACAACCGCGGCAACGCCACCGAATTCGCCATCCTCAGGAAAGGCTCTTACAACATCTCTCTGCGCTTGAAGTATGAACCCAACGGCGCCACCGTCATTCGCTTTCCGCAGCCCGGCGCCGTGCTCTTCCCTGAAGAGAAGATCGTGAACGAAGTCTCAGTCATGCGCTTCCTCGCCGACCAGACCACCATCCCCATCCCATTCATCCTGCACTCAGGAACCAAGCAAGAGAGCCCTCTCGCATTGAGTCATTCATCCTCATGGAGTACATCGAGCACGAGATAAAACTGTACGACGCGCTCAACATCCCCGGTCTTCGCAGGGAGCAACGCGGGGTGCTCGACCCCGACATCGCAGAGGCTAGGCTGCGGAGACTGTACGCCCAAATGGCCGACGTTCTACTACAACTCTCCCTCCCTGCCCTCCCGCGTATCGGCTCGCTCAGCCAGCAGGACGACTTCACCTGGGAGGTGACACGCCGACCGCTGTCGATGAACATGAACGAGCTCGTTCGTCTGGGCTGTCTGCCTCGCTCCCAACTGCCTCACGTAGACACGACATTCCCCACCGCCTCATCATACGTTCAGTTCCTGGCAGACCTGAATCTCGACCATCTAATCCATCAACGCAACGACGCAGTCACCTCCGAGGACGACTGTCGGAGGAAGTACGTCGCGCGGTGTCTCTTCCGTAACCTCGCCCGCGAACAGCGCCTCACCACTCCAGCACTGGAGAACGGCCCCTTCAACCTCTGGTGCGACGACCTCCGTCCCGCCAATGTACTTCTATCCCAAGACCTGCACATAGCCGGGGTGGTCGATTGGGAATTCACCTACGCTGCCCCCGTGGAATTCTCTCACGCTCCGCCGTAGTGGCTTCTGATCGAGCGGCCCGAGGAATGGGCCGGGGGGGTTGAGGAGTGGACTCGGGTGTTTGAAGCCCGGCTGCGGACGTTCCTACAAGTTATGCAGAAGGGCGAGGATCAAGAGATCCAGCGGGGTCGGTTGCACGAGGGGCAGAGGTTGTCCGGTGCGATGCGGCGGAGCTGGGAGAGTGGGGACTTCTGGGTAATGTATGCGCTGCGGAATAGTTTTGCGTTTGATCTGGTTTATTGGTTGAAGATTGATGAGAGGTTTTTCGGGGTTAGTGGACGAGGAGTAGAGAGGGCATGGGAGGAGCGGGTTGGGTTGTTGAGTGAGGAGGAGAAAGAGGAGATGGAAATGCTTGTGACGAGGAAGATGGCGGAGAGGGTGAGTAGGCCTCTTATTTGGGATGCGGATCAGTATACTTTGGCTTTTCAGCGGGAATCGGAGAGACGGAGGGAGGGAGATGAAGGAGGGAAGGATGAGGTTGGAGTTGATGAATTCCGTAGTGTGGAGGATAATGGGACTGGGGCTGATGGGATGGATTGAGATGGTCTACCTAGTACCGGCCTGTGGAGCTCTTCTGGCTAACCCTCAAGGCGATGGATGTCTCCCAGAGATTCACCGTCCAAAACACCCCAATTTCTCCTACAAGCAAGCAAGCCGTCCTGCAAAGGTGTGCTGTGCTGTGCTGTGCTGTAAACGGAAGCCAAACTACCACAAAACAAACGGGCCATGCCTCTAAGTTATCCCCTCTTACGCATCAGCAAACCAAAAGCGCATCATCCCAGAAGCGGAATTCATTGCTCGCCCCTCACTCACGGATGGGATCAAGGATAATCCCAACCCTCATCACTATCACTATCATCCTCATCACTATCGGGATAATCCTGATCCTCATCACTACTGCCATCCCGGTCCACAAAGTAGAATTCCTCATGCCCCCGCGAATTGTGGAACTTCTTGGTCCTTCTCTTCTCGTAGTCTTCATCCTCAAGATATCGGTCACAGTCATCCTTTCCATTGTCATCCTTGTCCTCCTCCTCTTCTGCCTCCTCATCCTCCTCCTCTTCTTTCTCGTCTTCCTCTTCATCCTGCTCATCCTCCGCGTCAGGATCCTCCCCCCTGATACTGAGCTTAATAAACCCGTAGATCAATTCGGGAGACTTCATTGTGGTTTCTTTGTTGATCCGTGGAATCTGTGGAGAGATTGTTCTCGCGGAGGGGTCAGTCAAGTCGGTTATGCGAGAAAGGGAGAAAGAAAGGGAGGGAGGGAGAGAGAGAGAGGTCTTGCTTTGGGGGTTTCTTTCGTGGAGAAGAGACGTCTGTTTCGTAGAAAAGCTGTTTTTCTTCTGAGGGGTGAGTTCCCCTTCTTCTTCGGGTGAATTCGAATAACAGAAAGGGTAACGAGAGAAGTATCCTTCTTGCTTTTTATGCTGGGAGATATCCCTCTGATGGGTTCCATCCAAGGTCATTTTGTTTGCTGCATGTTGCCGCGGTATGGTCGTGGTTTGCTCGTTCCGATTGTCTGGTCTTGCCAGGCTGAAAAGGTCCCCGGGAATTGTGTTTGCTGGGTTTGAGAGGATGCTAGAGCTTTTTTCCACAGTGCGTAGTTTCATTGGCTGTGAATGCTACGTGGGCCCTTTCGTTTGTGATAGGGATGAGGGACTTTTGGCTTGGTAGATAGAGTTGAGATCGGGAGAGGTGAAGAGGCAGGCAGAGAAAGTGCAGGTGGAAGATGGTCAAGCAGTTGGGTCTCTGCAAGGTCGGAATGATGCGATCGAGACTGATGGGATTGCACATCAGGGTACGGAGTACTACTGTTCGAACATCCCAGAGTCACACTGTCACTTATTGCTATGGATTCCTATGAGCTATCAAGTCCCCCTGGGCCGTGCTGTATACACAAAAAAAAAACAGACAAAATCCCAAATTTGATCTCGCAAAGCAAACAAAACTATCTTTTCTTCGCACCCCTCCTCAGTTTGAATCACCATCATACTTGCAGTTCTGGATGATAGCGTAGCAGAGCTCAATGCCTTGTAGTAATGCCTATCACTCCAGTAACCTTCTCATCCTCGTCAAGGGAGAAGTCCTCACCAAGAGTCGACAACCGCAACACCCTATCACTACTAAAGAGTCACCCTAATTCAACGAGTTATAGAGACATTGCCAAACGTTGTGCAATCTCCTAAGATCAGACGGGTACGCATACGGGTACGCAGTGCCCCAGCCACCGATTGAGTTCAGCCATGGAGCTTCCTGGTCTCCATGCATAAGCTGGCATTTCCATTAGCATGGCCCTTCCCGCAATAAGAATGAACGAAAGAGCGCAAAGAAAAGACAAGATGAAAACAAAATCACAGGGCTGCCTGGCTTACAGAGTACCCCGGAACTAACTTGATCACGATCCCATTCACCGCAAGCGCAGGTTGATAGGGCATCGGTACGGTGCAACTGCAGTAGGTGCGGACCTGGTCAATGACGTCTCGCACTGTCAAGCGCGGGTAGAATCCCTGGAAGTCCAGTACGATCATGCTATCCCATTCCTAGCAGAGAGTTCTTCTTTTAGCACAAAGCGCTCCATGAGTTCGGTTGTGGGCACTAGATGGTAACGTACCCTGGGTGGAACGGGTTGGTTCCACTGACGAAGGTACTCATGGTAGAGGGATTCCCTGACTATGAGGAATTTCATATTAGGCAAGCCGTTTTTCAAGGCTTCAATCATGATGTATTCCGCTTGACGGATGAGTTCTTCTGCTTCGGGGTGCAAGGATGACATCGTAGCTGCTGGGCTTGGAGTGGTGGAGAATCGTTTTGGACAGCCTTCCGGAGAGACTTATGTGTTGGGAGTTGCTTTGGGTAATATTTGTTTGGGAATTGGAAAGGAGAGTCTGGTCTGAGGAGCCATTGGTATGCTGGCGAGTATACTCGCTTTTATATCAACCAATTCCTCCTGTCGTGATGACTGGATAGGCTGGGGCCTTGATGCCGTGTGTCCATCGTTGCGCTGCGCTACTAGTTGGTGTTTCTTGTTGTCTTTCCTTGAGTTGAAAGAGACCAAAGACATGTGTCGGCTAATCGGGAGTATGCTGACGCTCTTGTGCTAAACAATTTTAGGATGAACGGGTTGGTAGTTGAACAGTTTCACTGGTGATGAAGGCCAGGTAGGCCTTGTTCGAAACATGCGTCTGTTGCTCAAACTCAGGTTGGGTCTTTTGTGAGTGTAGAGAACACTTGCTGAATAGTTCCGTTGCTTATGATGACCGCATAGGCCAGGTGCTTCGTAATTGGTGCTCATAGATGACTTGATCCACTGCTGGTGTTTCTAGTTGTCAATTAGCCAGTTTCGTCGGTCGAAAGAGATTCAAGACATGTCTCTGTTAACCATCAATATGCTAACTTCTGAGCTCGGTAGCGGCTACTTATTATACTTGCCCAGCTGGGTCAATTAGCTCCCGCGATAAATAGCCCTGAGCTCTCAAGAAACCAGCCAGTCGTCTGAGTGCATTGTGGGCGTCATCCGAAAATGATCATGCTACCATATCTGAGTTGAGGACTGCAGCGGTCGGCATAGTTTCATCTGCTCATTTGCTCATTTGCTCTCAATCTAAGGCTCAAACTTTTGTGCTGGAGAAGCAAGTCTGAAAAATTCGCTAGTGCTGGGCCGTGTCTCATTCAACGTCTGTTGCTCGCGAGGCGAGAAGTCTCAGCCATGTTGAGGCTTGAGACATGCGAGGCAGAAGGTGCTCAGGCCTCCGTTTTGGAATGAAGCATGTTTGCTGTTCAGCTGGAAGATGATTCTTGTTCTTTGTTGACTCCAATTGAGTTCCTGGACATGCTAGTTATTGGTAAGAGATAGAGACCGCTGGAGAAACCATATTAGCCATACTTACGGCTCTTTCTGCGATGCAGCAGGACGCTCAGACATCCATGAATGCCGTATTGGCTCACTTCTATGTCTCTGGCCTTTGTGTCATGTTCTTTGTAAGTACAATGATCACGTTCAGGACTTTAGTATCTCGATTGCGTCCGATGGCTTGGGAATGGTAAGGTGGCGGAGGGAGAGGACGAGACCAGCCATTGACTTCAAGCTTACATTGGGTGGCAAATGTTGGCCTATGAGATGGAATCTTTCTTCAGCTAGCTTTCTAAGATACAAGATTGGCGGAGACGTAAGTCAGAAGCCAGCAGGCCCTAGAGCAGGCAAGAATGTGCTCAAAAGTGCGCATCGACTAACATGAGGGGGGGAGGGGAGAGGGGAGAGGGGAGAGAGGGAGGACCTTGGAGATCCTGCCTTTACCTTCTCCTCCATTTCCCTCTCCCACTCTTCTATTTCTTCCCCTTTCAACTCTTTCATTGCCTACCGATTTCCACGCCCAAACAAACTCTGCGCACCGTCGACTATCAATCATCACAACAGCTACGACCATAGCAAAGAGAGCCTCAAGATGTCCCCCAAATACACCCTCCCACCTCTCCCCTACGCCTACGATGTAAGTCAAACCACTCTGCTGACTTCCCTGAACAAATTCCGACATGCTTCAGAATACTAACCACCCCCCACCAGGCCCTCGAGCCCGTCATCTCCCAACAAATCATGCAGCTCCACCACCAAAAACACCACCAAACCTACATCACCAACCTGAACGCCGCCCTCGACGCCCAGACCACCGCCCTTGCCACCAACGACATCCCCGCCCTGCTCAGTATCCAGCAGAAACTCACCTTCAACGGTGGCGGCCACATCAACCACTCGCTCTTCTGGCGCAACCTGGCCCCCCACGGCTCCCCGGCCACGGACATCGCCCGCTCAGCCCCGACCCTCCAGCGCGCCCTCGAGCAGCAGTGGGGGTCGGTGGAGCAGTTCACCGCCGCCTTCGGGGCGGTCCTGCTGGGGCTGCAGGGCAGCGGATGGGGGTGGTTGGTGAGCGTGGGTGGGCCCGGTGGGAAGCTCGAGATCGTGAGCACCAAGGACCAGGATCCGGTGGTTGGAGGGAAGGTGCCGAATCTGGGTGTGGACATGTGGGAGCATGCTTATTATCTCCAGGTATGTTTTTCGTCTTGTGGATGGATTGAAGGCTTACGCATGGTGTAGTATCTGAACAACAAGGCGGGGTATGTGGAGCAGATTTGGAAGGTGATTAATTGGGTGGAGGCGGAGGAGAGGTACACTAACGGGGTGGATGGAGCTGCTTTGTTGAAGTTGTAATCTCACATATAGTTGTTGAGGTCTTACGACAAGCAAGTGACTGACGTCAATTCAGGTTATCATCTAATATAGTAACTTCCCATCCAGCGGTACTGGATCTTAACGAACCAAACCCCCACCCGTAACTCCTTAGTACTCCATACTCCCAGACATCTAAACATAAACATCGAAATACTCTAGACAGCTTAATCAAACCCAACGACCCCCCTCCCCATCTCAACCATGGCATCCACCCCATCCACCGCCACCCTCACCTCGCGCCCAACAATCCCCGTCCCCGACACCCCCAGCTCCAACCTCTCCGGCAACACCACCTCAATCACCTGCTGCTGCTGCTCCTGTAATGACTGGATCCCACCAAATCCAACCCGAAACCAATGCAACGGCGGCTCAACACCCCCACCCGTAGAGGCAGTCAAATCCCCATATTTCCTATCCCCAACCGCCAAAAGTATTAGCTCTGTGCAAAGAAGACGAGAAGAACCCACCACAGCATGAAAGGGGGGAATGGAAGCAACTCACTCGATCCGCAAGTCCACCCCCCGGGCAGCGGCAAAGATATCCCGGACCTTGGGATCGGGGAATCGGAAGATCGCCCTCGTCGGGCCGTCGGGAGTGCGCGTGTCGTGGCTGAAGGTCAGGGAGTAGGAGGAGGACTTTTCGGGGGAGGGGAAGATGATGGCGATGAGGTTGCCGGTGCTGGGGCGGGTGGGGCCGCACATCTTCTGGTGATATCTAGGAGGTGGTGGAGTTGTGCTGAAGAGACGGTTTGGAGGGTTTGGTTATGGAGGATGTTTGTATAGTAAGTTATAGGGTTGACGTGAGAATTGAGGGTGAGGGTTGATATGGATGGCTCTTCATCTCATGATGGAGAGAGAGAGAACCTTAGGAACTTATGGGGAGACAGTCTCCAAGGTGGCCCCGGGAAGTGGTCTGGCTACCAAGGTAGATACAACGTAGACACTCCAGCACTGAAGGTAGGGATCTATACTCGAAGATGCTCAAATCTGCGCAAATCAACGCGGGGAGTGGGGTGGAAAGTGGGGCCACAGTGGGGCAAAGTCTATCTCTATCGAGGTGGTTTCTTTGTTGTCGAATTAAAGGACTGCATTCTGATTTGACCTTCATTCCTTTGACAATAGATGCCTATCTTGAGAATGTTTGAGAAGGATTCCCATTCAGAGGAGGAGGTCTTCTCAACGGCGTGAGTAAAGGCTGTGCTACTCTGCATTTACATCAGGTCTTAGTCCCCCTTGTGGTGGCTAACTAATTACTCAGTATCTATGAAGTTATGGCCCTCAAAGAATATTCCCATTTACTCGAACAATATGTACGTATGTACTTCCGTGTCTAACTCTATACTCTAGACTTCTACACGGAAAATAGCGCCATCTGCCAGGCTCTTACTGCAAGGCTCGAAGCCTACGAACTGTACACCTTCACTGGGTGGGCCTCCGTGTTCAGCACGAACTGATTCCCACTCCCCTTCTGCACCTGCCATTCATCCTCCGGTGCGAACGCCAGGTACGAGTACTTCAGCACCTCAGCAAACATGAAACTCTCCTGGTTATCGTAGCGGTTGCCTCCGTTGGCGGCGTTGACGTTGGTCAGGCCCGCGAATCCCGAGTCGGTGCGGCAGTACTTGTTGATTGACTGGAAGGCGCTCCAGATCCACTCGCGATACTAAAGGTTTGTTTGTCAGCCGTGAACACTTCATCCGAAGGGCCTCTTTGCTTACAATCTCTTGGCCAGTCACGCGCCACGCGTAATAGAAGCTCTCGATCACTTCCGGTCGGAGGATATACGCGCCACTGGTGATGTAGAAGCCAGCGCTCTCGAACAAAGCCTGTTGGCTGCTGGGGACAGAGTTCGGGTCCCAGCTGAATGCCTCCGGGCCGATGCCGGTAAGAGTCGAATTGTAGGTGTCGTGGCAGCCGTTGACTAGTTCCAGACCAAAGTCGATCAAGTCGGAGCGGTCCAGCACCGTGCCACCGAGCAGGAAGCTACCGCCATCGAAGCAAGTCAAGTGCTGAGAGCTCAGGCCCAACTTGCCATTGTTGTACGAGGCCAAAAATGTCAGGTCCTGGCGCGTGGACGGGTGCGACGCCAAGTGCTTCATGGATGACTCGGCCGCCGCCACCCAGCGGTCTTTGTAGGTTTCGAATCGGTTGGGATCGTACACGTACATCTTGATCAGATACTCATAGTACGAATCAGCTCCACCGTTCCAGCTCACCGCTCCGTCGGCAAATTGGCCAGTCGCAATGTTGATGTTACTTCCTACCAATCCGGGGAAAGGCTCCGCAGATTGGGGCTGGGGGTTGAGCAGGTAAGACTCGGCCTTTTGGCTCAGGTCCGCGTAGGTAGAATCTCCAATCAAGTCGGACAAACGTGTCCATTCCAGGACAAGGGTGCCGGTGACTGCAAGGCCATTGGTGGTGGCTCCATCGTTACCTTTAGAGGTGATGTTGAGGTTGTTGTACGGAACGCCCGACGGGGTGTCAAAGGCAAATTTTAGAACGTCACCCAGGTTCTTGGACTGAGTGAGCAACGTGTCGACCTTCGACGAGTCGTCGACCAGGTCGGCGGCAGGGCCTTTCAACAGGTCATAGCCGGATAACATGCCGCCAAGGTAGCGAATGGTGGTCTCGAACAGGCTGACCGTGCTACTGGTGCTCGAATAGTCAATCTTCGCTACATGGTCAAGAATCTGATTAACAATGGTCGCATTGCGCATGATCACGGCGGTCGATAGGGCATCCACCGCGGACGCTCCCCATCCGTTACGAGAATCCCCATAGCCATTGGAAACGGGGTGCAGCTCGTCATGGGGGAACGCATATTGATAGTAGCCATCCCAAGCGTGGGAAAAGGCCTCTTTGACGGCATCGGCGCGCGATTGAGCTTTGTCTTCGGTGCGCAGAACGGGCTGGACAAATCGGGCTTGCGGAAAGGCGGCACTAGGGCTGACGAGAGCCAACGCCGTCAGCGACAAAGAGAGTGAGGGAAAATGCATGACCCCGGGGAGAGAGTGACACAAGGGCAACACGGGAAATTATAGACAACGAATGGGTACTACACTCGAGAGCAGAAACAAACCCAAAGAGTGACAGCCTGAGGAAAACAGGCGGAGGGGAGGGGCAACCAGTATAAATAACGATCGCACGCACTAGATCCCGCAATTCGGTGCTAGTTGTCGACGATGAGGATGGGGAAAAGAGGAGAGAGGGGGGAGGGGAGGGTGGAGAATAATTTAGGAGTTTAAGAAGAAGGAGCCTGGACCTGAAGGAGCAGGAGGCATGCATAGGGAGAGAAAGGCTACATCATGGCCAGCAGTTGGTCCATTCCTCGCCGATCTGGAGACCGCGATTGGTGACTGCAGGGGCCTCCACCGTCCATGCTATGCATTGAGCTGCAAGGGTGGATTCCGGTTTGGACCGGATCAGTCTGGATATGAGTACCTTCTTCCTTTTTGTTCATCCCCAGAGTCCAGGCATCAGACCAGACGCCTGAGAGTGTGACAAGTCGAAGGTCGAATCGGACCCCGTTGCCTCAATTTGATTCAGTTAGACTTCTGGAGACATCACTGGGGCAGGTCAGCTCGCCTGTCAAGGGTCAGAGCAGATGATGCGGAGAGAAAGCAGATGATCGCATTCCCCCCTCATTGATGGAAGTGATCGGCAGGAGCAGCAGGAGCACTCGGCAAAAGAGGTGATAGACCCTTAAGCTGACTAGACTATCTTTAGCCAGAATGTCACTATAGTCAGGGGGTTGCGTCCGAAACCACCCCCCATGGAGTGAAAGAGAGGAACTGGAACCAACAAGGTTATTGATCCTCGATAATAAGTTGTCCGGTCAGGCACAGTTCTGTGGGACAGGGCCATGGCTAAGTATGCAGTGCCAGTGGCTGCCCGCGTTTGCAATTAGGCTGTGGCAGGTTTGGTAGGTAAGTTAATGTAAGTTCCATGATTCCAGTAGGACAAATGGAAATGGATGATCCCATCCCTGACGTAAGCCTTGGTTCACACTTCAGTGCCCGGCAGTGAATGTGCCTGACCCGTGCATCAGGCGGTCAGCCAATTAAACCTATCCCCTCGGTTTGTCTAAACCAGGAAGGCGGTCTATAACTCCAGGCTCCGATTGCGGGGCAGGCGAGAAAATTGCAGGCGGGACCGATAGGAATTACTCAGTATTCTTCCTATGATTCATACTCACCATCCATCCATCCATCCTCTTGAATCTTCTTCCCTCTCCCCACCTTCTTTTTCCCCATCAATTTTCCTTGTCCTGTTTCTCTCTCTCCCCCCCCCCGTTTTGGGGCCTCGTCTATCTGTCTCTATCACCTCCACCTTCTATCATTGACTTGAATTCGATTGCCTCACCATGTCGACTCCCCTCCTCGTCTCGTACGACCCCGCCGCCGCCTCCACCGGCGGTTTGTCGCTGAAGCAGATCGCCTACTTCGGTCGCGTTCTTATCACGGTTTCCAGCCTCGCTCAGGCAGAGGAGTTCCTCAAGCGCAACTTTCGTCTCCTTGATGTCTACGTCGATGCCACTGCCATTGCCTCCTCCGGTGACTTGGTCGACATCCTCAACGCCGGTGCCGCGAAGATCTTTGTCACACTCAACCAGTTGACCACCTTGTCCGAAGAACAGTCCGTCCCCTCATCTCGGGTCGTCGCCATTGCCTCCGAGAGCCAAATCAATGCCTTCCAATCGTGGGTTGGCGGATCTGAGGAGCGCCAAGAGGCTGGTCTATCTACCGATGCCTCTGCCATCAAGTCTCTGGCTGAGAAATTGAACGTCAACCTCGAGGCTCAGAACCTTTATCGCACATACTCTGGCGCTGTCACTGAGGAGGCCTTGAAGGACACTATCGGTCAAGGAGGTGTCTGTGTTGTTCCCGCCGACGCTCTGACCTTCGACCACCAACAACCCAACGGCAAGATTGTCGCCGCCTCATTGGTCGCCGCTCGCGCTGTGACCGACCAAAGCAACGGTCTTTATGCAACCACCGTCACCGATGAAAGAGGAATCTGCTTGGGACTGGTTTGGAGTAGCAATGAAAGCATTGCAGAGGCTCTTCGCACCGGTACGGGCGTCTACCAAAGCCGTAAGCGTGGCTTGTGGTACAAGGGTCAGTCCAGTGGAGATGTGCAAGAACTGATCCGCATTGGTTTCGATTGCGACAGCGACTGCTTGGTCTTTGTTGTCAACCAGATTGGTAGAGGTAAGTCTATCCACACCGCATATGTCGTTCTCGGTTAACCATAAATAGGTTTCTGCCACTTGGGTGCCCCCAGCTGCTTCGGACCTTACAACGGCCTCGCTCGTCTGCAAAAGACGCTGCAGGCTCGCAAGGCCGATGCTCCCGCCGGCTCCTACACTGCACGCCTCTTCAACGAGCCCAAGCTCACTCAGGCAAAGATCATGGAGGAGGCTGATGAGTTGTGCCGTGCCAACACCAAGGAGGAGATTGCTTTCGAGGCCGCCGATCTGCTTTACTTTGCCCTGACTCGCTGTGTCGCTGCTGGTGTCAGCCTTGAGGACGTGGAGCGCAACCTTGATCTCAAGAGCTTGAAGGTCAAGCGCAGAAAGGGTGATGCCAAAGGCCCCTGGGCGGAGAAGGCTGGCTTGACCGCCGCCACCCCCGAGTCGAAGCCTGCTGCCCCTGCTGCCCCTGAGCCGGCTCCCAAGAAGGTTGATGATGAGCCTCTTCAGATGACTCGTGTGATTACCGCCTCGACTCCGGTTGACCAGGTGAAGGAGTATCTCAAGCGTCCCTCCCAGAAGTCCAACGATGCGATTGTTGCTCTCGTTCGCCCCATTATCCAGGATGTCCGCGAGAATGGCGATGCCGGCGTGCTCAAGTACACCCACAAGTTTGAGAAGGCTACCTCCCTGACCTCTCCTGTCATCCGTGCCCCATTCGCACCTGAGCTGATGAAGCTGTCCCCTGAGACCAAGGAAGCCCTTGACATCAGTATTTCCAACATCAAGAAGTTCCACAGCGCTCAGAAGGGCAGCCCTGAGGGCCTCAAGGTTGAGACCATGCCCGGTGTCGTGTGCTCTCGTTTCTCGCGCCCCATTGAGCGGGTTGGTCTCTACATCCCTGGTGGAACGGCGGTTCTGCCGTCCACGGCCATGATGCTGGGTGTTCCAGCCATGGTGGCTGGCTGTGAGAAGATTGTTCTCGCGTCTCCTCCTCGTGCCGATGGCAGCATCTCTCCCGAGATTGTCTATGTTGCTCACAAGGTGGGTGCCGAGAGTATCGTACTCGCTGGTGGTGCCCAGGCGGTTGCGGCCATGGCGTACGGTACTGAGAGCGTCAGTAAGGTGGACAAGATCCTGGGACCAGGGAACCAGTTCGTCACGGCGGCCAAGATGTTGGTCTCCAACGACACCTCCGCTGGTGTCAGCATTGACATGCCCGCCGGTCCTAGTGAGGTGTTGGTGATTGCGGACAAGGATGCCAACCCGGCTTTCGTGGCTTCTGATCTTCTCAGCCAGGCCGAGCACGGAGTGGACTCTCAGGTTATCCTCATTGCCATCGATCTGAATGAGGAGCAGCTCCAGGCTATCGAGAAGGAGGTTGACGTCCAGGCCAAGGCTCTTCCTCGTGTCGACATTGTGAAGGGCTCCTTGGCCCACTCGGTCACTTTCGTTGTGCGTGACCTCGCTGAAGCCATGGCTTTGAGCAACGAATACGCTCCCGAACACCTGATCCTGCAGATTCAGAACGCTGAGGCGGCTGTGGCGAGTGTGAAGAACGCCGGAAGTGTGTTTGTCGGACAGTGGACTCCCGAAAGCGTGGGCGACTACTCTGCTGGCACGAACCACTCTCTTCGTAAGTTTATCCTTCTTTTTCCTGGAAGCAATGGCTAATGATTCGCAGCTACCTATGGATATGCCAAGCAGTACTCTGGAGTGAACCTCGGGTCTTTCCTCAAGCACATCACCAGCTCTAACCTGACCGCGGAGGGTCTTCTGGGTCTGTCTCGTACGGTGGAGCAGCTGGCTGCGGTTGAAGGTCTCGATGCGCACAAGCGGGCTGTGAGCATCCGTGTAGCGCACATGAAGAAGCAGCAGCAGTAGTTCGATGATGATGCGTAATGTTTCGATGTCTTTAGCAGCTGGTTACGATCTGACGCGTGTAATATTGCAAGCATAGCCAATCAGAAAAGTATGATTCCCTTGTGACGATCAATGTACAATATGAAGAACATTTGGTATCTCGGACGCCTGGCGATCTATAAACCCACTTGAATAAGAGAACAAAAACGGGGCAACTTTTCCGTTCCAACCCATGCAGTGACAAGCAAGCGATATAAAATCATCAATCATGTAGCAGCGATTGAAGAGACAGACAACAGACGCAGGGCAAATCACCGCTTGCGCTCGCGGATCTTCCACTTGACGCCATTCTTATTCGTGCCTCCGACGACATTGTCCATGCGGCCCCGCTGCCAGTCCAGCTCGCGGGCTGCGGCCGTAATCTCCTTGTACTGCTTCTGCAGGGCCTCGATCTTGTTGTCTCTGGCCTCCGTGGCGCGCTTCTTCATCTTGCGGGCGCGCCTGGCCTCGACCAGCGCCTGACGCTCGGCCTCGACTTGCTTCTGCGACTTTTTCTGCTGTTGTTTCTTGCGCTGACCGAACGAGTCATCGTCCTCGTCACTTTCGGAGTCATCCTCCCCCTCTTCCAACCGTAACAGCCGCTCCCGCTTCAAGTCCTTCTGTTCATCCCGATCTTCCGCAAAGACCACCTTCCTCGACTTCCCCCCGGAGATCATATCATCTTCTTCATCATCCTCATCCCCGAAATCGAAATCGAAATCCATATCATCATCGAACCCATTAAACTCATCATCACCTCCCTTCTTCTCCTTCGTCTTCCTCTCTTTCTTCTCCTCCTTCTCCCCAAGCGCCGCCTTAATCCCCTGCTGCACCTGCACCTCCTCCTCCAACCGCCCCAGTTGCCGACGGATCCTCTCCCCCTGCGTCCGGAGGTACCCCGCGTCCTGCGTCTTGAGCAATTTGATAGCATCGTGGCTCAAGCCGCGCGCCGCAGCCGAGTCCCGCACGCCCGTGCCGTGACGACCCTGCCGCGCCGTGTGGCTGGAGAGCATGCCGAAGTTAAATTCATCGGGGTTGCGGTCGCGGACTTTCTCCTGGAGGCGCTTGAGCTTGGCTTTTTTGGCGTTGTAGTCTTTGGCGCGGAGGGAGTAGTCCTATTTTTGTTGGAAAGAATTAGTATCGTGGGGAATTAAGCCTGAAGGGAAGGCTGGTTGTTTACCTTGTGCTTCTCAAGAATACCCCATTTTTCGCGGCCTTGGAGTTGGCCTCGCTCCTTGTGGTTGCGCCGTTGGACGGCGTTGCGCATGGTGGACATTCTGAACTGAGGTGGGTGGACCGGTGAACGGTCGGTTTTCTTGCTCAGAGTTCTCGAGGAGAAAGAGAATGGATGGGAAGGAACAAGCAGACGAGACGGAGAGGGTCTGGATCTGATACGTAGGTTGTGATGGATTGCCAGATAGACCAGACTATTCAAAAAAAAGTCGGCGGGCAGGCGGAGAGGCGGAGAGACTAAACTGCTTTGGGATCAGTCCACCCGGTTTGAACTTTGTCCGCATCCAAGCTCCGAGCTGCGGTGGTCATTGATTGTTGAGACTTGGGATGTTGATCTTGTCGCGTGGCTAATTGACTCTTGGGATAAACTCTGGCTGCTTGGATTTAATACACGACTGTTGGTGTATCTACATGAGTTGATTCTCAACTACTTGACTACCTCACCACCCTCCTCCCATCACCCCCGACAGACAGACAGACAGACAGACACGGACAATCAACGCATTGATCGACCAACGCTACTACTACATCGTGCAACCCACTGAACTCCAACCACTCAGTCCGATCCCACGCCTATCCTTTCTTCCTCTGGCTCACTCGCCTCACTTACGCCCTCAATTGCAAAGCTCAAAGACCTCCACCAAAATGACCACCCCAAAATACAACCTCCGCAACCCCCTCCCCCTCTCCGCCACCCAAGAAGCCGAAGTCAAACAAATATACTACAAGCGCGTACGAGGCCACTGCGCCCCCGAGATCAAGGGTACGAGCCTGCTCCTACCACCTTCCGAATCCCCAATTGAACCACTCGCTCCCCCGTCCCCTTTATCAAGAATCCAAATCCCAGCAAAGCAATCCCCTCCCCCCCCCCCCAAAAAATCCACAACGCTAATGTCATTTGATATGTGTACAGCCTTCGCCGAATGCGCCGTCAACCGCACGGTAACAGCCACCTGGGTGTGCCGGGAGCAGCGGCTGGCGATGAACTCGTGCATGCTGGCGCACGCCAAACCGGAGGAGGAGGACCGGGCGCGGGAGGAGTGGTTCGCGACGCACGAGGAGCGGCGGCGCGCCGAGCAGGCCAAGCTGGATGCCGTCGAGGAGCGGCGCGCGCAGGTCATCTCGATGATGCGGGCGGATGATGAGCGGAGGCGGCGGCAGGAGGAGGAGAAGCTGCGGCAGCAGCAGCAGCAGCAGAAGTAGGATGCGCCCGGGGGTGTATATTCTTTCTTGATTTGTGTTAGATTGAGGGGGGGGTTAGGATGAGCAGTGGATTGAGTTTTGGAGCTGGAGGTCAGTTCACACCATTGGAGCTGGACGGGGGCGGGAGTGGGGATGGGGATGCATGAGGATATGCGAAGTCTGGGGCTCTCTTCATGGGCGTTATGTTTTTCATTTGTTTATGCTGTACGATATGGCGTTTATGTTTCTTTATTTTTTTTTCTGTCTGGTCGTTGTATACAGATTACCTTTTAGAAAGCATATCTGTACATGTATAGTATGGACCAGAGAGTGGCTGAGGGTTCGAGGATTCAAAAGTGGCCGGGGAGCAGAAGCTGAAGTCGTGATGATTATAGATATGGTATAGAACTGACCTCTCTCCTCGTCGAAATTCGATCAACCTAGTCTCACGCCGAGCGCCAAAACACCATCCATATCCACCCAAACCTCCAAACTAAACATCCGTCATATCCTTATCCCCATCATCATCCTCCCCCATGGCCGTATCCTCCCCGAACACATCCTCCATCTTGCCATCCTCATCCTCATCCTCACCATCCTCCTCTTTCTTCACCCCAGTAACCCCATTCTCCCTCGCACCGCCCGACGTGCCATCGCCCCCGAAATCCCCCGGCTGCTCCATCTCCACCTCCTCCTCCCCTTCACTCTCCCACTCCTCCCGCAGATTCCACCCGTTACCCGTCAAGCAGAACCGCTCCGGCGGCAACCGCAGCCCACCCATCAGCACACTGCCCTGGCTGCCCGCCACCACCTTCGAGTTGCCCTGCTGGTCGAACCCGCGGCTCGCGCCCGGCAGCGCCACGCGGTTGCGCTCCGCCGCCACATCCATGAGGAATTCCTTGGGCAGGCCGGACTGGAACTGGTAGTGCAGCCGGGAGGCGATGCTCAGCCGCAGCGCCGGCAGGCTGACGCTGTTGACCTCGGGCGGGCCGCGCGCCGCCGCGCCCGTGTCCGTCGTCGCGCCCGCGTAACCCTCCGTCGCCAGGTGGACCGCGTCCTGCAGCACGCTCGAGGTGTACCGGTAGGCGAAGTCGAGGAGTTGGAGCGGCACGCGCTCCTGGTAGGCCGTCACGCCCAGGCTGGCCAGGAGCATGTGGATGAGGCGGACATCGCGCGGGCGGCGCGACTTGCCGCTGTCTTTGAGGGAGGTGGAGGGGATTTGGGTCGGTTGGTTGGGGGGTGCCGGGGTCGTCGAGGGGGCGGGTGCTGTGGTTGCTGTTGTGTTAGGGTTGGCGGTGGTGGTAGTGGCGGGGTTATTTGTCGACGTCGACGTCGTCGTCGTGTTGTTCGTGGTGTTCATGTTGGAGGCCGCGTTGGGGGTCGATTGGTGGTGGTCGGCTGGAGGGGTGATCGGGTGGTTGGTTGTGGGTGCGCCGGGATTGGAAGGGTGCGAGGGTGAGGCCATGTCTGAGGGAGAAGGTGGAATGGAGGAGATGCACTGAAGTCGTGCGGAGTGCTTTGCTGGGCAGGCGCGCTGTTGTACTTGACGGAGTACTGTACGTAGGAGATAGGAGCGTGCGGAAGTGTCGTCTACCGCCTTGCGGTGGGTGTCTGAGGAGGTTGAGCTGGATGCGACGGGTAGTTAAGAGAGCGATGAGGAAAGAGTGAAGCAAGCGGCAATCAATGGACAATCTTAAACATTATCGTTTCGCGATCGATCAACGGCCCGCCAGAAATAAACTCCTGTCGTGGAGATTGAGGTGGATGGATGGATCATGGATGGATGAAGCAATTAATTGAATCTGGAAAGTGACTGGAGCGGGATTCTTCCCGCCACGCTAGTCCCGGTCCGGACGTCGAAGTATACCTTGGCATCATCTCCGTGCCTCAAATCACCAGGCAAAAACACTAACTAAAGTGGTGGGGGCCTCTAAGTCCACATCTCTTTTGTCCTTATGTTCATAGAGCTATTACTCCGCAAGTGTATTGACATACAACTATAACTATGACTCTGACTAGACTAGACTATGCATCCTTGCAACGCCTCAATGCTGCTCTATAAACAAACACCCCCATGCAAGCTCTATCTATGCCATCACAGCTCGAAGCATCGGCGACAATCGTCCTCAGACGGGGTATCGAGCGTGTTTCACGCTAATCATTGCCCACCGATTCAACAACAACGCCCGACAACGCTTCAACGAGACGGTGACCTCGGGGGAGACCCTGGAGGGGCACTGACAGCTCTCACTTCCTCCTTTTTGGGGACAATGTGGTGGTCATCCGCCAATTCAGATCCGTCCACGGAGTCTTGCGATATATAGCTGGCGCCAAGGTCTTCCTCTTCATCAATCTCCTCCTCATCCAGAGCCTCGCTGCCATCGTCGCTGATCTCGCCGTCGTACTCCTCATCTTCCTCAAGTTCGTCGTCCTCGTCCAGCTCCTCCTCTTCTTCCTCATCCTCTTCCTCTTCGTCCTCCTCTTCGTCCTCCTCCGGTTCCTCGTCTTCGGCTTCACTATCTGTACATGAGAACGCCTCGAGGTCTGGCGGGGGTTCACGCCAATACGTGAAATCGGTGTACTCCTCGCCACCAGCCTGAACCAGCAAACTGACAGGCGGGAAGAAGTGGTCAAGCAGCTCTCCCATTGAAACGTAACTGCTCTTGTATTTGTTCAGACTGAGAAGGTCCAACGATACCTCCGTATTTGAGTTAATTGTGAAAATCCGTGTAGAAGGGATATTCACCGAGCGGTAGCTTAGCGCGTCCGTCAGGCGATTGCCAAACCCGGCGTAGAATGGGTTCTCCTTGCCATTGAACAAGTTCAGGATGTCTCGCAAGCACGCCATCTTGAAGACTTCGGGCTTCCGAAGGTAGATCTCCCGTCGAAGTGCTGCCATGGTCCGGTCCGGACTCATGATAACTGGGCCCTTGGGGAGTCGGTAGCCATCCTGGCACACTCCATATAAATAGGCTCGCGTAGTGTCGGCCTGGCCGACGGATCGACTAGTAAGGTACATGATGTTGTAGCCGTTATTCACGATGTCTGTGTACAACTTGGCGACTCCAGCATGTGTCCAGTCTCGTCCGATCATGTTCAGCACATGACCCAAAGCATCAGACCTATGACGTTTAGTGGGAGGAAAGCCGATGGCACGAGGTTTATACTCACTTAGTAATGGTCCCGTCAATGTCTGAGATCACAATCGGCGTGTTGCCATTCCACAGATACATGTTTGCGGTGCAAGTTGCTCGGTTCACACTGAACGACATGTTGTTGGGTCCAGGTCTCAGTTTCAAAGCCTTGAGCTGGTCGCTGGTCAATCGTAAAGTCTTTGCGTAATTACGTGTGGGTTCCAAGGCAAGGGAATCTTGATTAGGCGACTGTGGCGGCGTGGGAAAGCCAGGTTGCACGTCTGATTGCGTCCGATAGTGACGGGCCGTCACTGCCTTGTCATGGATGGACGGATCGCTATCGCTATGGTACCCCGGGTCAGAGATGGCATTTTCACTCATTGCCGACCCCGGTCGCATTGTGTTGAACGTAGCCCGGCGATCGGCAGCCTCTTTGGCCTCCTCGCTGCTATAGATCCATAGGTTACCGTGCTCATCTGCCCCGATAAGGGCTCCGATGTCGTAATTGCCCTCCAATTCTTCGGCGAGAATCTTCCGGGCAATGACCTCCGCCCGCAGCGCATCTTCCTCGCTGCTTTTGTAGCCCGTCATATCCAGCATCAAGTCTCCGGTCTCCGTGACGCGAGATGGGATGTTCGACCCGGACAGCTTCTTCGACAGCGATTCGGCTCGAGACATCACTTCCTCGAGCGACAACGGCGGAGGGCTGCGGGATCGTCCATCCGGAGTGGTTTCATCGCCTAAGACATTCACAGCATACGGCTGGTTCGTCACCCCGATACTGTTGGATCGATTCTTCGTCAAAAGCACGCTATCGGTGGCCATCCGGTCGATCTTGGCAGGCCCCTCGCTGAAGGAGCCGTGGCGGGACCGGCCCAAAGTTGAATCGTTATCCGGTGATCGCGAAAGAGGTGTAATGGTACCTGTGAGGCCATCAGTCGTTGTTCAAGTCCAAGTCCCTTCCTCAACGTACCCAGGTCGCTGGATGCCCGCATCCCCCTGGACAATATGGGGAGTTCAGCCGATGACTTCCCATCGGCTTGGTTTTCAGTAGGCGACGGGGATCGATCGAGGTCTAAATACTCCGGCTCTGACAAGGAAGAGGAAATGTTCTCTTCGCTGCGCATCTTAGGACTGCTGGTAGGCGAAACTAAGGGTGACGTCTGCAGCGAGGCGGGAATCTCGGCAGTCGTTTCGAACACGAAAAAAGCCTCCCCGCCCTCACCCAGCTTCATCGCATAGTCCTGTTTGACGCCATTCACGGAGAATTCCACCTAATAACATCTTAGCCATGATAGCTGGACAGTGGATGCGGGCTGGCGGTACCTTTTTCTCGTACGGGCGGAGGAGTGAGAACTTGCCGAATCGAACATGGAATGGAGAACAAGCCAACGTTCCTGCGGCAATTTGCGATTAATAATTTATGCGATGCACCGAAGAGCAGGACAAACAAACCATCCTCTTGCTCGATCACAATGACATCAATTGCCCCGCTGAGGGTGGCTGGGTTGATGGAGTTCCAGGTCTTCGAGACGGAACCGCTGATGCTGCGGACGTATTGCATCCTGCAGGCTCAACAGGGGGGGGTGTCCCTGGAGAAGGTTGAGTATATCCGAGAGAAAGCGATTGAGAAGAGAGATCTTTTTTCAAAATCTCACCACACAGGTGGGAGTAGGAGAGGGGTTAGAGGAGGATGAGGAGGTGGTCAGAGGCCGGGGGTGCAGGAATTGCCGCCTACTCGTACATACGTACGTCCCATGTGACAATGCCCGATAGACATGCCCCGAGGCGGGGAGACAATACGTAGTAAAGAAGTAATGATAACGAGAGACGATACGGAGTACTCCGTAGTCACTCGCGCAACATTCGACTAAAACAATGAGAACAAGAATAACCAAGCGAGTGATACCTGTATAACCAGGTAGACAAGCAAAGAACGTATGAGGTTTTTTGTTTTTAGAAAAGTTAGAATTGAGAGTAAAAGGAAAAGAAGTAGAAGAACCGTCCGTCAGTTCCGCGCAGGCAATTGTTGGGAGAGGCTCAACCGCCCAACCGGTCGGCGTCATGTGCTTTTCAGCCCTTTCCTTGCCAGCAGCCAGCAGACTCAAGATCCAACATTCCTCGGCTTGAAACGGGCGCTAGTCCCGCTTTGGACGCCTAGACCAGTCGCACAGGATCTGCACGCTGACTCAGCTGGATCTGAAGCCGCCAGCGGCAGCCTTAAGGGTACAGAGGGTACAGTCATGTGACCGAAACTCCCCACTGGGTCGGCAGCCTCCGCGGAGCATCGGATTAATTCCCCAAAGTCTCTCTCTCTCTCTCTCTCTCTCTCTCTCTCGCGCTATCTTTGCTTCAATCCTGCCCGGCATCGCAGGACCTCTATTCGACCTTCCATCCTCCACGGCCCCCTCGCACTCCCAAACGTGCACGAGGTCGCTGCCACCCCTCACTTCCTGTCTCTTCCTCCATGGGTCGTGGACGCTGGGATGTATGAGCCATTGCATCTCTCTTTCGACGCCTATCCCAGCGTGGTTCCCCGAGTCAGGGTTCGAGGCGTTATGGCTCTCTTCCTGGCTGTCACAATTCTCTGGGCGCTGATTTGGTGAGTAGCCCGTCAGAGAGCTTTGCAGATGATGTCTCGGTTGGACTAATCTTGTCTCAAGGCTGCTCTACCGTGCATGGCAGGTCTGTCAGACGCCCAACGAAGTTCTTGTGGAGAAGCTGGGACTCGACATTCCGCCACCCCCGGAAGTTACTCTAGAGGAGATCACAGCGCGTGAGATCCGGATAGCCTGGAAACAACCGGAGTTCCACAACTCGATCCACAAGCACATCATTCAGCTAAATGGTGTCAAAGGTAGCTCTCGTCTAGAGATGATCGTCTCTTCTTTCTCTGGTGCGGCTAACATTCTGTCAGTGGGCGAATCGAAACGAGCGGAGACTGCTGTCGAAATTCTAAACTTAGTCCCTGGAAGTATTTACCATATTTGTGTGCTCTCAGTCAGCGCCGCCAATTTTCAGACACCCAGCGCAATCATTCATGTGCGCACGAAATCTCTACCTCTCTCCCAGTCGCAGCAGAATGCGCCGGTCGGAAACCCTACCATCCGGGCATCGATTCCCCGATCGACTGCAGGCCTGGCCGCTCCCGCGGCGCCTGTGATGGCGCGTGAGCATAGCGGAGGACAACTTCAGGCGAAGCGATCCACGGCTGGGCGGAAACCATCCCCTGCAGCTAGCACAACCGACATCGCTCACTCCAGTGCCGAAGATTTGCACAAAAGTACCGCCAATGACGATCATGATGAAACACTGGAGCAGCTTGCCGATCGATTGAAATCCCTGCAGCAGGAAAATGAAACCGTGGAAAAGCAGACCGCCGACGAAGAAGAGGAGCACATCGCTCTAATAAAAGAACTAGAGAAGCAGCGTGATGAGCTGAAGAAGCGAGTGAAGGAGAAGGATGAAGCCAGCGGCGACTTGAAGAAACACGTCTACAAGTTGGAAAGCGTCAACCGCACTGTGCAAAGTGAAAAAGCTAAGCGTGAAAGACTCCTGCAGCAGAAAGAGTCCGAGCGAAAGAAACGAAAGGCCGACATCATTCGGTGGCAGGAGCAGGTTGAAAGCATGGCCCGTGAAGCTGCTGAGTCAAGAGAGGAGAAGGCTCGAGTCGAAGAGGAAGCGAAACAGCGTGCAGATGAGATTCGAGAGAAGATCGGTAAGGAGCAGTCGGAGATGAAGGTCATCGATGATGAGATCCAGGACAAGGGCGGCCGTGTCAAGAAACTTGAGGATGAAAGGAAGACTCACCAGGAGGCCGACAGTGAGGACGGAAAGGAGTTGGACAGAATTGATAATGAACGAGCGCGGCAATGGGATGTCAAACTGAGCAACCTTCATGCTCGCTATGCCACTCTAGTCAGCCTTCATGCACAGGTTAGTTTGCTCGAAGCCACCATTTTGCTACCACGCACACTGACCGTCTCTCAAGGCGCAGCAACAGTATCAAGAGGCCCAGGAACGCTTGAAATGGCTCACAACACAGCGAAGCGGCAGCACAGGACCCTTTACTCTTCCAGCTCTCGATTTGGACCTCTCGAATACCGCAACCATCCGTCCCCGTCGGCATCGCAGTTCGCTTACCAGCAATGTCTCTTCGCCCATGAACTATACGTCCCTAGAGCCAACATTCTCCAGCAGCCTTGGCTACAATCCTCCCGTTACCAGCTCACCTACTTTTGGGCCAACCTCCACTTTCTTCAACATCACGAACGGAATGACTCTACCGAGTTTGACTAGTCAATCTGAATCCCTGCATGGCTATCCAGCAGATCAGATATCTCTCGGTGCCCCTCAAATGAGCCCTCGCGCAGACGCCTTACTACCTTCGGATCTTCTTGGCGACGAGGAGTCGCCTGAGCTTCCTCGTCCGGTCATTCGATCTCGTTTTCCCAACCTTGAGCAACCGGGCACCCAGCTCGAATTCCCCCACGGCCCGCCGTCGCCAGATTCACCCAACAACAGTCGTCCAGCAAGCCTCTTCGCCAGCCCTCATGAGAGCCAACCTCATTCTATCGACGTCGAGCCTCAACCCACGAATCTAGGGGAAGCAGGCGAAGCGCCAAAGAGTGCCTCGCGGCGACTGTCTGGCCTCTTTGGCTTCCATCGTCCTCGCGGTAAAACTCTTGCCGATGAACCGCCTTTGCTGGGCAGTCTGAAACCAGGACAGAGTCAGTCATTCCCCCGTAATGTGGATGAAATGGATCCCATTGGTGCTAGACGTCGTCGGCTGAGCTATACAGGCAATTGGGCCAACCCAATGTCATTGTTCCCTCGAAGCAATACAGCCGGTGCCACAACTGACAGCTCGTCGGATCACCATCCATCTCGTCGCACTGCGTTCTCGAGCATCTTCTCTCCCAGTAGATTTGGCTTTGGCAGTGGTAGCAGCTTGCTCAAGTCCGGCGAGAATGCGGATCTCAGCACGGGATACAACCAATTTAGCCCCCGGCATGATCCCATCGATCCCGCTACAATTCTCGGGAAAGTGCGACGAGAATCATTGTCTCCGAGGCCGTCTTCGACCTTCTCGTTTGACAATCACCTTCCCCATCCTTCGACAGATAATAGGCACTTCGGCTGGCCGTCAGCTGAGAAGCCTGGCCACCGTAGCCCCTTGGGATTTGATTGGGCATCCCCCTCAACCTGGTCAAGGGTTCAATCCCGCCGGCCATCGATTCAGTACGGATCTTCTGGTCACCTGCCTCTAAGTCTAACCGGTGAGCCCGATTTTCTCCAGGACTCGGCTTTCGAGCGACAAGGACGCCCCTTGCAGGCTCCTATTGGCACCCGACCATCGTCTTCACATCGACCGGTTACTCCAAAGCTGAATCCTGCAGCGCCTTCGTTCAAGGCCATCTTTTCTTCCGGGAAGAAATCCGATAGGAGTAAGGAGAAAGACAAGGGCAAGGACCGGGAGTTAGAGGCACCGTTTGATTTTCCTATGGACGAGGGCTCTCCCTCGGAGTCGCGGGCTTCCCGGGATTCACGTTCTCTGTCTGCCCTCACTGGCGATTCGTATGAATCACTGGAGCGAATGCTTTCCGGGGGTTCGTTGGACAATGCCAGCTCGAAGGAGTCATTTATCCGCAAGATCACCCGTAAAGGGAGCTCGAGTAAATTCAGTTCATGGAAGGATCGGTCTGGTCTTTTTTCCAAGCGGGGTGACACCGCGCAGGGAGATATCGATGAGGATGCCCACGGTGAAGGGCTACTTGCCAAGAGCATTGACAGCACTGTCTCGAGCGCACCCTCTGCGGATAGATCAACGCGCAGCAGCTTGGGTTTCTTCAGTCGGATGTCGAGGAAGTCAGCTGCTAGCGAGACGAGCGAGCGTCCTAGCGAACAGGCTAGCGAGGCAGACGAAGATTCCGAGGAGGAGGATCATCATCATTCTTGATCATACTGCAACCCCATACTGCGTCGTGCAGCATTCATTCTCTCACTTCTTCTATCCATAGATCAAGAGTCAGTCAGTCACTTGTCATTTACTTCTTTCGACCTTTCCTAGCGCTGTAAGCTTCAGGGTTGGTGGTCATCACTTTTCCGTCTTTTCAGTCTTTCCTAGGCATATTTGGATTGCACATAATAATTTACCTAAAGGCATTCATTCATTGATTATATCAAGACACTATTCCTGATACACGGGTAGCGATAGATAAATGAGCTCAGTATGTGTAAAGCCACTTCAACGCTTTTTCCAAAGTGTCATTCGATATTTGTAATGTGCTGTTGTATTCAGGGTTGCCGTTGCGCGGATAAAAAAGAGGACCGCAAGCCTCCCCCACCACTCAAATCTTCATCCCACCTTCAATTCCACCCTCGGCGGCTGCATCCTCATCATACATAGCCTTTCCCTATGAATATCTTATACCTGCTTCCGTAGCCCTAACATACTCTCACATAGCGTCAATATGGCAAATTCCAAGTACCATCCCCCCCCTCCCAAATCTCACCCTGGCATCTCTTCCGCGCTAAAGCCTTTCACAGATACGAGTATGTCAAGTCATTCGAACAACCCGATGTGTTGCTCCCCAACACATGGATTGTCGTTCGAATTGACGGTCGAGGATTCCATAAGTCCGTTTACTCGTTTATCTATCTCTAAGCTCATTACCTTCGTGGTAATGTGCAACGACCACCCCCGATCCAGTCTCTGACCCCATTCCAGACTCTCCGATCGCTACGGCTTCGTCAAGCCCAACGACCGTCGGGCTCTAGATCTAATGAATGCCGCCGCCGTGGAGGTCATGAAGGAGCTTCCCGATCTATGTCTCGCCTACGGTGTCAGCGACGAGTATAGGTACATTGCACCTCTACCTGCCGCCGAAGCATGGGATTGTACTAACCCCCTTCTTCTAGTTTCGCATTCCACCCCAGCTGCCAATTATTCGAGCGGCGAAGCGCGTGAGTTGCATCATTCCATTCCTCTTCTGAGGGCAGTAGTAAGGCTCATCATCTATTGTTGGATGACTAGCAAACTGGTCACGACCATCGTGTCGACCTTCACAGCATACTACATCTATCTTTGGGGTACATATTTTCCCGATACGCCGCTGCAGCCTGCGGCTCTTCCTTCTTTCGATGGGCGGGCGGTCATGTATCCTAGCTCGAGGATCTTGAGAGATTACATGAGCTGGAGACAGGTGGATTGTGAGTGCAACCCCTCATGTTTGGTCTGGCGGAGTCTTAATGAGTGAGTCAGGTCATATCAACAACCTGTATAATACGACTTTCTGGACCATGGTCCTGCAGGGTGGTATGAGCAACACGGATGCGGAGCAGGAGCTGAAGGTAAGCCCGGTCTCTCGTGGGATGGTGGGTGGCGAGGTTGATGCTTATGGGCATGGCAGGGCACTGTCTCGTCGGATAAGAACGAGATTTTGTTCAAGCGGTTTGGGATCAACTACAACAACGAGGAAGAGATCTATAAGAAGGGCAGTGTGATCTATCGCCAGGTACGTTTCGGTTTCTGTTGTGCATCAAAGTCTTCGGCTAAGTGTCCGCGCAGTATCAACTCGAGGACGCACAGCCCAAATCAGGGACAAGCAATGCAGAGGAAGAGGAGGATATCCCAAGCGCTCCGGCTTCGCGATCTCAGCAGGATAAGATCCGCAAGCTGCGTCGGAAAGCGCAGGTGGTCGTCGACCATGTGGATATCATCAAGGATGAATTCTGGCAGCGTCGGCCATGGATCCTATCGGGCAGGCCGGGGAAATTGCCTACGGAGGCACAATAGGCTGGGTCATGTTTGATAGAGTCAGAAACAATGCGTTGATTGATGTATGTCAAAGCCAAAAAAGAAAAAAAAGTACGAATCCAAGAACCAAGCAACAAGCCATGGGTATCTGTAAGAAGTCTAATCTAAGTATCTATCCCACCTTCCGGGAGGTTTCATTCCGCCGCTTGGGACTTTTTCGACTTTTTCGGTGCCTCATCTGCCGACGCCTCCTCTCGCGTCTTCCTCTTCTTGCTCTCTTTTGGTGTCTTCTTCTCCTCCTTGTTCTTCTTGTCCTTGCGGTCCTTCTTCTCCTTAATCTTCTTCACTTTCACACCAGCCTCCGCATCACCCGTCTGCTCCTGTTCCTGCTCCGTCATCGGCGGCGTAGGATAATCCTCATACTGGGGCCGCGGCGCATCCTCCTCGCCCTCCTTCCGCCGCTTCAACAGCTTCGCGGCAGCCTTCTTCTCGCGTCTGAGCTTCCGATCCGCTCTGCGCGCCTCCCTCTCCTCCTTTCGCTTCTTCTTCTCCTCCCGCTTCACGCGTCTCTCATCCTTGCGCTTCTTCCGCTCCTCTTTCCGGGCCTTTCTCTCCTCTTTCGTCTCTTTCTTCTTCTCCTTGCGCTTCTTCCCATTTTTGTCGTCGTCGTCGCCGCCATCATCCTCATCGTCCCCTTCCCTCTTCCTCTTCCCGTTGGCCCCCTCCCCATCATCCTTGTGTTTTTCGCCCAGAGTCCCCGCAACGACCTCCCCGCGCACGAAGAACCGGTACAGCTCGCTCGTCAGCGCGTTGGGCGTGCGCGCGTCCGCGGGGGTCCGCCGCTCCTCGCCGACCCCCTTCAGCGCATCCTCGAACCCGCGCAGCCACCACTGATTCGTGGGGTCCTTGGTGGTCTTGTTGCCCACGCCCGAGTTGCCCTTCCGGCGGGCGACGAGGATGGGCCGCGTCAGCCCCAGGCCCGAGGTGGCGCCCGGGCGGGCGTTGGGGTTCAGCGGGTTGCCGGGGCCGGACCAGCCCAGTTTGAGGAGGATGGCTTGTGCGTCCATTTCGTGTGGTGTGCTGTGGTGGTGGTGGTGGTATTCAAGCGGACATCTCTTGCGTCCGACGGACGGGTCGAGGGATTTGTTCTTGAGTGATTCGGGGCGTGGGGTTGGGGATGGTTTGGTTGTAATCGAATCACCCAGTAAAGTGAAAACTCGTCTGGGCTGTCGATTATGGTGCGCGGGGTTCTGAGATAGAAAAAGATGAGAGCGATGGGAAGGGACCCAACGAAGATGAGATGCAGAGACGGAGGGAGAATGTGAAGGTGAGAAAAATTATTTGCATTCCGCGCGGATAAGGCCGAGTGATAAGGCTGGCGATTTTGGCAATGTACTAGCTATGTTGTAGCAAGGATGGAACTTTCAACAAGCGAGTCGCGTGGTCTAATGGTTATGATTTCTCGTTCACATCGCAAGAAGTGTTAGCTGGCTTAGCGCCGAGAAGGTTCCCGGTTCGATCCCGGGCGCGACTATTCTTTTTTCTTTTCTTTTTTAGGTGCTTGGTTCGTTTACTGTGCTAGTAGAGGTGAACTCGATTTATGGGTGTTTTTTATTGAGTTGTTTGTTTTGTCTTTTGTGAAGCACGTACGTGATTATGACGGCGATGAGTTCATCCCTTGAAGTTGTGTGGTCGTCATGATCCGGTGGTTGGGTCAGGTGATATATATACTTCCCACGGTGCGGATGAACTGTACGCTGCCCTCATGTCCCTTAGTCGTGTTTGACTACCAACTCGCCTTTAGTTGTATACATGCTCAGGTCTCGCGATGGCATTATATACCTGTATAAAATGGTAGCTAGCTATCACTGGAGTCATTTGAGGGGATCGCTCTCATTAACTACACCTCGAAAACACATTCTGGGATTTTTTGTGTAGGACAATCGTTACATATGTGATGTGAATTTCTATGGAGGTAACTTGATGCGTCGCTTATTTATGCAGAGGACTCTACCTCTCTAATCGTGTGGATGTCGACTCACAAGAAGTGGTTAACTATATTGCCGCCCTGAAGCAGTGGCATCCTCCCGTGTGCACCCTCAGGCCTACCATGGCAGACCTGCATGGCAGCGACCCGATAGTGCGGTCCAAGTCATGCAAAGAAGGCGTCACTAGCCCTCAATGTAGAGGCTGCGCACCCACCGATCCTAGTCCAAGCCTGATGCTCATTCTGCTGGTCGCGGAGGAACAGATATTTCATCCACCGTTCCACACACAGCTGACTATTCGAGCCATGCTCCCTGAGTCTTGAAGATCCTACATAGCACATGATCCTCGGCCGCCTCACAGAAATACCATAATAGACAGGGTCGACCATTGCTCAGAGATTTAGCCCAAGCATGGCATCTAATGGTACCCCAGCAATGGTCCGTCGGCTTCTAGAAAGCAAACCTCCACTGACACACCGTAGCTATATGTAGGTAGCCAGATCCAGTAATCCCACCAGCCCCACACTGCTAGGATAGAATTCCAATATGGCCACACACTGACACAGTCACATCACCATAGCGAGCTTTGCTACACCCACGTCTCCCACAGTCTACATAGAAGCCTCACCAATGAGTACATGTACATGGTGTCACCAAATAAAACCACCACCGTGCACGAGAGCTACGAGCGAGTCATGGCCTCCTCCCCGAAGGTCGGAAGCCCCCATTCTCCTGATTCAGACTCCTTCCCTAGAGTCCGACATTATTCACCGAGCATGCATGGGGTTCTACCGACCACAGCAGCTAGAGGTGAACTAGCTCCCGATCCGAGAATGGATATGCAGACGATGAATGCCCGCATGACACGACTAGTCCCAGTAATCGGTATATCACAGTGTGTGATCATTAGAGGGCCCTGTTATAGGCCTAGGGCCTCTCCGTAGCATGTGCACAATACTGAAGCGTTCCAGCAAGCATCAACAGGATTGGTCATGGTTCTTCTCGACTCAGGCCTGAGATCAGACCTCCTATCCCTCGCTCCGACGGCAGTGGGTTTAGTGGAGCCTCCATTTCTGACAACCCACAAATCAGCCGGAAGGGATTCGGTCGAGTTGGTTGGTCCTGAGTTGATGTTCTCAAAACGACTAGTTTAATGCTAAGGGATGAATGTGTGATTGTGTGTGCGTGAGGGGGTTTTGTGTGAATTGGACTGGAGGAGGCAGATGCAAGGCAGTTTTGCACAGCCGCAGCAGTATAAGACCCCAAGAGACCCCAAGGATTTGCCGAGACTTTCTGTGCAATTTACTCACGAAACGAGGGGCTTGGAACAACAACATTCATTGTCGTCAGTCTGGATGTTTGCCTTTCAGACACAGTGATCCACCCGCCGCTTGTCACCATCAATGATTCGGTGTGGGAGCATTAGTCAAGTCACGCGCTAGTGAGCTAAGTCATCCGGAGCGAGTGGCCGCTTGTCCTTCTCCCAATGCGACTAAATCTATGAGTGAGTGAGTGAGCGAGAGAGAGAGAGAGAGTATGTGTGTGTAGTTCTTTAGAATGCAGCACGAGCATCTCGTACATGCTCTGCTGTGAGAGCAGGAGGTTAATGGGCACCAGAGTTGAGTTAGTGGCCGTTCCAGTTGCTCGCTGAGTCAAGTAGTGATTATCACCGAGTAAAAGCGAGCAATGGGCCAGTCCAAGGAGAAAAGATCCACGTTGTTGGTGTTGAGCTTGGTGGGGGAAAGGGGAATGTGGAAAATAAAAAAAAGGGCCTGGCCCCCAATCCCATTGTGGCTGGTGGTTCCTAGATCGATCACCGTCTGTTCTGAGCGGGCATTAACTGCGACTGGAACGGCAAGAAATCTAGGGAAAACCGATCCATTGAACTTGGCTCAACCGAAAACCTATTCAAGATGATGATACCATCATGAAATCAACAAGGAGCGAAAGAGAGGGCAGAAAGGCAGAAAGGCAGAAAGACAGAAAGACAGAAAGACAGAAAGACAGAAAGACAGAAAGACAGAAAGACACCCACCACCTCGCATGAATTGTGGCAGGTTTGATAGGTTGGGATGCGGCTTGGTAAGGCGCCCAGACCTCGGGGGCGCTCGTTGGACCCTGGAATAGGATCGATAACGATAAAGCAAACTGGAGGCGGCTTTGGGCAGGGTAAACCGGCGCGTATCCATGGCCTCTGATATGGTACCAAACTCTGAAGGCATGTATGCATGCCGCATGAGGGGCTGCAAGGCTGCTTCGAGTTTGTACTCCGTAGTAAAAGGCGAGCCTCGGAAGGGACTGTCTTACTCCCCATGTACAAATAACCTAAAGTAACTTAAATGAATAGGATGATTTACTCCAGGCTCAGGGCTCCATGTAGTTGCCTCGCGTGAGTCCTGTACTGTTCCCAAAAAGGCAGGCAGTACCAAGCTCGGCTCACCAGCTCAGCTCCAGCTGAACATACTCAATCTGACCCCGTCAAGAGCAACTGGAAGACAAACCAACTTGCTTGCTTGCTTGGTTGACCGAGAACACCCAACAAATCACAAGTGCACGGGTGATTTCTCCGGAATTGACTTGTGTGACTCGAGTGGAGACGGATTCATTAATGGTTTTCTATTATTGACCCATTCGCAAGGAAAGTGCAAGAGAAGAAACAGAAACAAAAACCCTGAGGGCGTCCAAGAAGACGATACCATATCGATTCGAGTGCCCCGATACTTTTTTATCAGGACCCGTGGATGGATGTGTGCTTACGCGGCGCGTTGTCGGTGGTAACTTATCAAATTACCTAGTCTAACACATCGCTGAGCTGAAGGATTGACTACGGTAGCCAGCCACTCTTCGCGCCAGGATCGCACTGCAGCAAGCAAGAATTGCCACACACACTCCTTCTTTCACCAGGAAATGCATAATAGCAAGTCGATCTTATGGCTATCCTCTGCAGGAATCCAATGTCTCAGCGCCAGCAGATAGTTTCTTTGGATGACCATTCATCAACCCGAGGGATGAAGGGTGGTTACGTCCTTGTGAAGAAATGGCAAAATCTCATGTCAGAAGCTTGACGAGGGGGCACAAAAGGCTAGATGACCCAAGACATAATGCGTGGTCGAACAAATTTTCTTGGATGATCTTAGTGGGGGCGGGGAACAGGACGAACGTATAGTATTGAACCGTTTAGACTATAGTGACTCCAGTCCGTCCAGCGCATCGCAGCAGCATGCAGCAAACCACCCACCATGGACCCGGGAGTCTGGGAAGCGGTGTAACGATCAACACGGGATAGTCGAGCTTCTAAGCCTTAATTACATCGAGGTCACAAGGCAATTCCCCTCCGTCAATCGGACGCTGACCGGGGGGGGGGGGGGGGACCGGCCCCAAGCGGGCGGATAACGATGGGCTCCAGGCTGTCGACCACGGAGAACAAGAGCAAGAACCTGCATATCTTGCATATGTAAACTGTACGCACTGCCTCCATGCATCGAGCTAAAGCAGCTGCGGCAAACCGGAGGATGAGAGTGGCTTCCAGGCCTGTGCTCCCTGTTTCGCATACTTTAGAATCGTGTGTCTTACTACCCCGGACTGCAGGTCAGGCACCTCTGTGGAAGTTCATGAACCTGTGGTAGGCATAATAAGCTTCCAGGGTTAAGTTAACTTATCTTGTTATCACCTCCCAGGCTCCCACTGACCTGTCCCCTCATCACCCCTCCCTGAAAGACTGGATGTAACCTTAACTAACCCTGTCCGTGAATAAACGACACTAGACACGTCGGGGGAGACTAGAATGACGAGATGCTGAAAGTAAAACTCTAAATCCACACGGGACTTTTGGCCATGGGGTCAACCAAAATCCTTCCATCCTGATCGTCATCATCATTCCTTCGATATATCAGCACCACCGTGCTGGATCGGACTGACGAGTATGAGCCAATTCCCCAGCAGAGCCCCTTCCCGAGCATGTTGTAAGTTGCCACTTGAAACGTGAACCCGAGCAAATCCTCGCTAAGAATGGGGAAGCTGAGAGATCGACCCTGGTCTCCAGCTCGGAAGCGGATGCACGCAATGCCGTATGCGCGTATGGACTAGGCTGATTCTCAATTCTGGCTGACAACCGTAGAAAAATCTCAATCCTGTACGGTACGGAGTAGACTAGCCCAGTCAGTGAGTTAGTGGGTACATAGTTGGCGTCTCTTTTGGCTCGGGCGCTACGCTACGGGCGAAAGCTGGCAGAGGGAGAGAGAGAGAAGCCCACGGCCGGAGCTGCGAGTCGAATCCTTCACCCAGCGATTTGGTAGACTAAATACCGCGGTTTTGTCTGACGCCGCTGGCTTGGCCTGCCTGAGAATGCTGGCACCCCACCGCCAATCGGCCGGAGATATTGTTGCGCGTAGTGTCAGTGGCCCAGTGGTCCAGTTGCCCGAAGTGGCTCACAGGGAAACTTTCCTTTATTCAACTAAGTGTGGGAGACGGTCCGCATCCCGCCCGGAAGTCACTTTGCCTAAAGTTCTTTGGGGAAAGGGAAGGGAGGAGCCTGGAGGGAAAAGACCCATCCACGGTTCAATCGATGTGTTCTATTTCTCGATCCATCTCTCTGAGAGTCTGAATCCATCCATTTATCTGCCCACTGCATGCTTCCCTTCGGCCCTGGGTAACCTTTTCCCATCATTTCTTTTTTTTTTTCTTTCTTTTCTTTTTTTGTTGTTGTTGTTTTTGTGTTTCTCTATTTTCTTCTTCATTCTCTAGTTTCTTCTTTTCTCTTTCAATGTTCTCTTTCCGGCTCTCTCTCTTTTGATTTCTTCCCCCTTTCTTTGTTTCCCACTCCATTTCATCCCCTAATGTTATACTTTTATGGCGGCCGTTGGGAACGCTTCCTCCAAACCATGGTACACCTTCAATAATCCCGCGCTAGTCTACTGGTGATACCAGGAAGGACGGGGGCTGAATTCTCCGCCGAGTATGCTCACATCGTAGCTAGATAGATCGAGCTTGGCCGTTACATGCTACCACTCACACCACTTGACCCGAAACCGCCCTGTCACCAACACCTGGCGCGAAATGCTTTGTGGAATGTTTGTCCTTGGCTGTTGATGTAGGGCGCGGACAATGTGGTTCGCGTAGGTTTGGAAGTATGTGTATCTTATAGTCGCCGAGATAGATTTTTCTTTTTCTCGTACAGATGCTCCAAGGGGGGAAAAGGAAAAAAAAAGAAAGAAGAAAAAAAGAAAAAAAGAGAAAAAAAAAAGAAATAAAGAAACTAACCAAATTATCAAAGGGAGGGGCATGGATAAAAATGGTAAAAGAAGCAGGCGCTAAAAGATCCGCCTAAAAACAGTGGGTTCAGCGTCTATGCTGGAAAGGGAACCAGAATGACCAGCATGTGGTGTGGCAGGGCCTTGAAAAAGTATGTTAGTTGGTGCCGTTGAGTCGGTATGGCCAATACACATGCGAGCATGGTACACTGCCAGGACCGTGTGCATATCCCATCAAGATGATTGCCTCGTGCATCTAGGAGAAATTAAGATCGAGCCGGGCCCGACTCCTCGGTAGTGTTTCTACCCTTATGAGCATGATGAAGATGAAGGTGGTGGTGGTGGTGGTAATGATGATGGTGATAATGATGGTGATCATAAGGTGTAGTCTAAGGCTGATTGTCCTCGGCTTACCCACAGCTGAGCCTCCAAAGTGTAAGTATATATACTCGTAGCAAAGTGGTTTCTAAGGTATCCATGATCTAACTAGTCCATCTCGTTTACTTGCAAAAAAAAAAAAAAGCTCTCCGGGTCCCATAACTACTAGAGCAGCCCCTGTACCATGGTTGATAGAGGGGCTTTACTCTGGGGAATAACCAATGAATGCTGGAGGTTCCTCCTTAGTCATGGCCAGCCCCGACACATCCTCACCCCATTATCCATCATGGATCGTTCTTCTCGGTTCGGAGTCGATTCTGGTTAGTGACTGACTGAGTGCTAAGTTAGATATCGACGTACTAAGTAAGCACTGTACAGACACACATACACAACTTACTATAAGTTACTGTTACTAAGTAACTACTCCATACCTTACATACCAACATCATAGTACAGCTACTTAGTTATAGTACTCTTCTTCTTCTTACTTGCTGTATGGATGGATACTAAGCCTCTCTCCTGCAACGGCTATCCAGCAGAATTAAACAAACGAATGATTCATCGTATGTCGCCCTAACATCTGAAATCATTCTAGCGATTCTCAGGCTTTCCACTGCAACCGCGCGCACTCCCTCCCTCCCCCCCGCCTTCGCGCCCGTGGGCCCAACGGGAATGACAAGACAGCGGCTGTAACAACCTTAAAGCCAGGGTTGTTGCTTGCTTCGGCCTTTTCCCTTTCATCCTCATCTCCATCGTCAACTCTTTTCCTGCTCTGATCTGATCTGATCGGATCTGTTGTGTTGTGTTGTGTTGTGTTGTGTTGCGTTCTGTTTCCTTTTCCCTTTGCTGTTTCCACCTCCTCTCTTTGCTTTTTACTACTTCTTGACCCCCGTTCTTCCGTGTCTTGAGTATTCTTGAGCTTCTCCTCCTTTCCCTTTCCCTCCCCCCCAGCTCGTTACAATTGATCCCGCTCGGGACAGTTTGGTCCTTTAAATCCCACAGTTAGTGGCTTCGGACGAACAGAGATTAGTGACGGTCCTCGACTTTCATACCATACCAAAGGGCCCCGTGACCGCCATTCTTATTCTAATTCTCATTCTCATTGTTCCTCGATTGTCCATCGTCATCCTCCTCGTCCTCCTCGTCCTCCTCGTCCTCCTTCTCTTCTTCAGGTTGTGGTGTTCCTCGACGAACCTTCAGCCAAACTACGCGGGGACTGCATCAGAGACATCATTTTCCTCTTTGGTCTCGTTCTGTTGGTCCAGATCAAATAGAATCGATTGCAAATCAATTGATCCCCGCATGTGCGTGTGTGCCTGCTGTGGGACTGGATGTTGGAGATTCTGCTAGCCTTCTGTCATTTTTCCCTAGTCAAATTTTCCTTTACATTTCCTGCCTTGCACAATTTCCTCACCCTTTCCAATCTCTTGTTATTCATTTCGGTCAACGAACGGCCTACCGCCCGCTCTGCCCCTCTTTGGTGGATCTGTATACTCTGAGATCAATTTTTACCTGCTTTGATCTTCCTCATTACTACCCTATGTACACTCTGACCGTCGAACTATATTTTCTACTTCCAGTCCACATACAACTGGTGGGTTAACATCAGCTGTTCTTGGCCGTTGCTGCCCCTAACCAGGATTCTCTGCGTGCAACTCACTCGTACGCCGTCTGCACCAACTGAGAGAGGCCTCCTTCTGACGATCTTCCCTCTCCTGGCCTCTACAGCCTATTCGGTCTACCTGGATATTCGGGAAGGAACAGGCTGTACACCATTCGACCACTATGGCATCGCCTACTCGCAACTATTATACTTCTCCAGCAACGGACCCCGCTGAGATAGCTCGCTCTAGGCAAAACTCAGATGTGATGGAGATTTACGGCATCACAGACCGCGAAAATCTAGAGCATAGTGCCGCCGATAGTGATGCTGCCAACCGCAATGGGTCTCCGAGCATGAGTAGTACTTTCAGCAAGTAACGCTCCCCATTCCTTCTTCCAATCTGATTGAAAATCTGCCACAATTAAGTGACTAATCTCCGAGCACGGTCATTCCGTGGCTCTCTGTGGTCTAGGCTCTCACAGAATTACCCCCCCTATGAAGAAAATGGCAGAATGTATCATGGTTTCCGGAAAGGAGTCTACATGTTACCATGCGATGAGCAGGAGCAGGACCGCCTCGACATCTTCCACAAGCTGTTCACGGAAGCGCGAAAGTCGGACGGTCTGATTTACGCCCCGCACCCGCCGAATGGACGGTTTTTAGACCTGGGCTGCGGAACGGGTATCTGGGCCATTGATGTGGCACATAAGTATCCAAAGGCCCATGTGGTTGGAGTTGACCTTGCGCAAATACAGCCTGACAATCACCCTGAAAACTGTCATTTCTTTGCACCATTCGATTTTGAGAGTCCCTGGGCCATGGGTGAGGATTCCTGGGACCTAATTCATCTGCAAATGGGCTGTGGCAGCGTTGTGGGCTGGCCAAACCTCTATCAGAAGATCTTCGCCCACCTTGCACCGGGCGCTTGGTTCGAGCAGGTGGAGATCGATTTTGAACCACGCTGCAACAACCGTCCTTTGGAGAAATTGGCTATGTGGCACTGGTATCAATACCTGAAGCAAGCAACACAGGATACGATGCGTCCAATCGCACACAATTCTCACGAGACAATTAAGCAACTCGAGGAAGCCGGTTTTACGCAAATCAACCATCAAATCGTGGGCCTACCGCTAAACCCTTGGATCCCTGATAAGCACGAGAGCAAGGTCGCCCGGTGGTACAATCTGGCAATCTCGGAGAGTATTGAGTCTCTCAGTCTGGCACCATTCAGCCGTGTCTTTCAATGGCCGGTGGAAAAGATCAGGCGCATCTCCGAGGAGGTGAAATCCGAAGCCTTTAACCCAGACATCCATGCTTGGAACCTCTTACATATCTACCAAGCGCGAAAGCCCCTCCCCAATTGACATTGCTGTGTTGATGGCCAATGCAGGACTGGCTCAAATAACGTACGCCGATCTTGAATCTTGCGTGCGGTTCTCGACATGGACGGCGGTGTATGACACCGCCTACGGCATCTCTGTTCTCTGCTCCTTTGCGGGGTGTTGTAGTAGAGTCATGTATTGGCCCGTCCTTTCCCTGCATCTCCCGGCCTGTGTGGGCATGCATCTCTGCAGCGCAATTGGGGTGGTTGACTTGACAGCATCAGACTGTCTCTCAGCCTCGCAATGAAGTTCGTGAGCGGCTCATCAATACAGTATTTCGGTTGCGCCCCGTGTTGGTCCCTGTTCAATGCCAACGGAACGGAATGCATCCCTAGGATCAATGCACAATGCAAGGAAGATCTATCCTACCTGCATTTCCGGCTCGCAGAGGCGGTGCAACACATCAAATCCTTTGGCAGCATACCTGCCGAGAGTCTTTCCGTGACATCTTCCAATGGATGCCGCTGCAGCCCGGGATCTTAGACAAGGAAAGGCCAAAGGCCTGATTGAATGTCTCGCATCCATTATGGATGCTAGTGTGATGCGAGTTCTATGGGTCATGCCCGTGGCCGATTTGAGGGTCCGAGCGTCTGTAGAATATTCAAGGAATAGTTTACCGACACCCACTGGTCCAAGCATTGAAGGCAATACTTCAATTTTGATTACGGGAACCCCTTGACAAAGCTAGGAGCCGCGACCATGCGGAGCACTTTCTGAATCATGCTCTTGGCAATTAAGGAAGAAAGGCATCCAAGGGAACGATGAACCATTTCTCTGTGAGGAGCTTATCAAGTCTTCTTTCTTTCAACCCAGAAACTCCCCTCAATCAACTCCGTAAGTATACCGAGTGCCAGATCCTTGCTTTTTCGCCAAACGCCCAGCGGTCTTCAAAGAAAAACCTAGCTGACATGCTATGATATAGTGAAGCACAAACAAAAGTGACCTACGAATCCATGGCATGGTATGCGACACAAGGGAATAGGAGCGCAAGGTGGGATGGTCAGCGCCGCCGGCCTTTTTGACCTCGTGCAGTACCATTTTTACCGCTTGCAGTGCTTTCCTTCTCTCCCTCACTATTCGCGTTCATCCATTCTCGACCTGCACCCGGACTGCGTCGCCTCATTGTGCCTGGGCCGACAGCTACGATCTCTTCTTCGCTTTCGCTATCGGAGATGTCGAGCAGGACAGGCATCCGGAACGATGTGATTTCCTCCTCGTCAGTGCCGGATTTAATAGGCTCAATGGTGAGCACATCGGGAACTTCGTCTTCCTGATCGAGACGACGTTGGTGGATTTCTTCTGCTGGGTGAATGTCGAACTCGTCTTCGCGTTCGACGTATTCCACATTCTCTTCGACCTCACCAAAATCAGGCGCCAGCGCTGACCATTTCTGGGGAGTCACTATTGACCAAGTATAGATGCAACCGGATTCCAGACCACAAGCTACAACCATCGGGCGACCAGGATGCCACTCCACCACCCCCAGCTCCTCCCGGGGACCCTCCAGGATCTTGACCAAAGACCCGTGACTCCGTTCCCATACGTAGATGTCGGGGTTCATGAATGTGGATGCCGTCACAAATTCACCAGTCGAGGAGAAAGTGACGTGGTTCCAGCTCAATCGATTGACTACATCCTGGAACTTGTGTTCCACCTGGAGCTTGATGTTGCTGGGCTCTAAATCAATACCGAGCTGCGAGAGGTCCGGCATGAGAATCGTGCGTATGACGCGATCGGAGCTGTTCACCAACAGGTCCCTGCCATTGCTTGCTAGACGAAGTAGAATCACTACTCCATTGCACAGACGAGTAGAATGGATAGTGGTGCACGTCTGGGTCTCTATGATGTTGATCCAGCCCTTCGACGTGCCTGCTATTATATGATTTCCTAGGGCGGTGAAGATGGTCACACAGGTCGAGTGCTTCGCATCTTGTGCAGCTTGTTTAGCAGCAGCCGCGGCGTCAAGCTCCTCGCCTTTAGCGGGAGGTGGACGGAAAGGCGCAGAAGGGAGAATGCGCTTGACAGGTTTGGAGGAGGAGACATCGACAAGAACGGGCTGATCCTCGAACAGAGAGGCGACAAAGAGCAAACTGCATGAACAGGGATATTAGTCAACAATGCGATATGAATTGACCGAGGAGTCTCGTACTGGTTGTAAGGATGAAGTTCGGCGATATATACAGGCGCCTCGAAGCGAACGGTGCGAACTCGGGAACCATCTTTCAGATCCCACAAGATACATTTCCAGTCCTGAGAGGAGCTTAAAAGATATCTACCGTCTCTTGACCAACTAAGTACTCCCAATCAAATTAGTTCATTTTGTCCAAACCGCGCAGACGAGAAAAGTTCCGTACCTCAGCGATTGGATCTGTCTGGTATGACCGCGTAGCTTGCGTGCTACCCCATTGGTTTCCACGTCAAAAATCACCACCGTACCGTCCACCTAAGGCCGAAGATTACTATAATGGTTTGAAAGAAACACGCGACTTGCGGTATGTTTGTGATGAAGACCAACCCGACCGGATGCCAAATAATCTCCCTTGCGGTTAAATCGCAGACACGTAGCATGGCCGCTTCCTGTAAAAGTCAGCTCTAGAATCGAGAAGTAGTATCCAGGGCGAAACATACTAAGTTTTTCCGATAACGTGTCTGGATAGTCCTGGGCGAGGACAAAGGGATCAATGAGAGACAAATTCATAGCGTACGTAGTGTGGAACGACCGAGGCGCGGCTCAGAGACCAATGATGGTATCTAGAGCGTCAGGCAAGGGAAATATGAGAAGCGATCCCAGCCTGCAGAGAAAGGCCGGGAGAAGATTGCGAAAGTGACCATGCAGGATTGCCAAGGTTGCTAATTGTTATTCACCAAGCAAGCGGGGAGGAGAGGGGAGATGGAGGGGAGCGACCGAGATCTTTTGTATTCGTATTTCAAATGGAAGAGGCAGCAAAACAGCAGAAAGATAGACGGCGGGTGGCGGGCGGTGAGAAAGGGTCCTTTGAAGTGAGGGCGGCTGACTCCACTTTTATTTCACAGTAAGCAAGCTGGTTGGCCACCACCTCACTTCCTGGGTTTAGTGTGAATGAGTTATAAAGCCGGGTGAGTTAGCGCGACGAGGTGCGGCTCAGAAAACTCGTTGCCCCATTGCCGACTAACCTGACGTCCATCCATCTCCCTTCCATCACCTCGACACGCCCTCCCCCCATCACATCCACCCCCACGACCATCGCGTTTTGCATCGCGATATCACTTATACGCCACTGAGATATCGCCAAGCACGATCGCGCTCCTCTCCTCCTCGCCCTTTTTCGAGCCTTCGCACAGTCGGTGGATCTAGGTCGCAGGCGCCCTCGTGGCAAGGGCTGCCAGAGGCCTCAGCCGGCCAGCTCGCTTTCTCCTCCTCCTTCCTCCTCCCTCAACGTCCCTCTCATCATCGCCGTATCTCTGTCGAGAAAGGTTGCAAGCACAGCTTCCTTTATTCCTACGACTTCGCCCCCTCACGTCTTTGCGCGACCACCACGTCTCGAACCCCCGTTGACCGACTGACGCAACGCACCGCTTATTAAAAGAACACCTCACCGCGACAACCGTCATCATGGCGAACGTTTACTTCCCATATTCCAAGGCGCCTTTGCGCACCATCAAAGAAATTCAGTTTGGTCTTTTCTCCCCGGAGGAGATCAAACGGATGAGCGTGGTTCATGTTGAATACCCGGAGACGATGGTTTGTTCTTCTCGGTGTTCCTTCAAAGCACGAAGCGGCAGCGGGTGGCGCTAACGCGGGAAACACTTCCCAACAGGATGAACAACGGCAACGTCCGCGCACAAAGGGCTTGAACGACCCCCGCCTCGGAACGATCGACCGACAATGGAATTGCGAGACTTGCGAGGAAGGTCAAAAAGAATGCCCCGGGCACTTCGGGCACATCGAGCTGGCGACTCCCGTTTATCATATTGGTATGTTGACCGGCAAACACTACAACCCATATCAAAGGCTGCGCATACTAACTCTTCGCTTTTGCGTCTTTCAGGTTTCTTGACTAAAATCAAGAAGCTCCTTGAGACGGTCTGCCACAACTGTGGCAAGATCAAGGCCAATACGGTTAGTCATCCCTTTAGGGATGGCAAATCTACTACGGCGGTTTTGCTAACTTGAGACACCAGTCCGATTCTAAGTTTCTAGAAGCCCTGCGCATGAGGGACCCCAAGAAACGATTCGATGCCATCTGGCGCCTCTCCAAAGATGTGCTGATCTGCGAAGCCGACCCTCCTCCGGATGATGAGGATCCTTTCTCGAAAGAGAGCTCCAAGCCTTCGCGGATGCATGGTGGATGTGGTAACGCGCAGCCTACCATTCGCAAGGAGGGTATCACGCTCGTCGGCACTTGGAAGCCCAACAAGATGATGGACGAGATGGATATGCAACAACCCGAGAAGAAGACCATTACCCCTCTTATGGCTCTGAATGTCTTTCGCAGCATCACCCACGAAGATACCCGCATCATGGGCTTGAGCAACGATTATGCTCGTCCTGAGTGGATGATTATCACAGTCCTTCCAGTCCCCCCTCCGCCGGTCCGTCCTAGTGTGCTTGTCGGCGGTAGCACCAGTGGCCAGCGCGGTGAGGATGACTTGACTTACAAGCTTGCTGAAATCGTTCGAGCGAACCAGAATGTTCAACGCTGTGAGCAAGAAGGTGCTCCCGAGCACGTGGTGCGCGAATTCGAGTCTCTCTTGCAGTATCACGTCGCCACCTACATGGACAACGATATTGCGGGTCAGCCGAAGGCCATGCAGAAGTCCAACCGTCCAGTCAAGGCTATCCGCAGTCGTCTAAAGGGTAAAGAAGGTCGTCTTAGACAGAATTTGATGGGCAAGCGTGTCGACTTCTCTGCCCGTACCGTCATTACCGGTGATCCGAACCTGTCACTCGAAGAGGTCGGTGTGCCGAAGAGTATTGCAAAGACATTGACATACCCGGAGGTCGTGACCCCATACAACATCGAGAAACTGCAGCAGCTTGTACAGAACGGGCCGAACGAGCACCCTGGAGCCAGGTATATCGTTAGAGACAATGGCGAACGCATTGATCTTCGCCATGCTCGGAGAGCGGGAGGTCAGCAGTTGTTGTATGGGTGGAAGGTAGAACGCCATCTTATGGATGGTGATGTGAT